GACAACAGAAACAAACACTTTATAAGACAATGTAAAAACTTTATAAGTCAGACAACAGAAAAACTTTATAAGACAATAAAAAACTTTATGAGACAGACAACAGAAACACTTTATGACACACAACAGAAACACTTTATAAGACTATAGGAAAACTTGATGAGACAGAAAAACTTTATAAGACAATAGAAAACAAAAACAACTTTATGAGACAGACAGTAGATAAACTTTATGTGACAGACAATAGAACATTTTTTTTAAGAAGGACAATAGCAAAACTTGATAAGACACAATAGTAAGACTTGATAAGCAACCGAAAAAAAATTAACAAGGCAGACAACAGGAAAAAACAACTTGATGAGACAAACAACAGAAACTGCTCTAGGCGTTTAAGAGTTGTTGGCATAGGAGAGATGACAGCTGTCTGGTAAAGGAGTGTTCAAGTGTTCTGCTGTTTGAAGAAAAAAACAAGCAGTACAGGACCCCCTTTTGATGGCGGTGAAACAGCAGACATATGATGTTAGACATTTCATGCCAGCCATCTTTACTTCCCAAGACTACCTGGTACCTATTTTAGGCTGGGTCAACCTGGTAGGCAAGGACATGTGATGTCCCACACATCCTGACTGCTACATGTGATGTCCCTCACATCCTGACTGCTGCATGTGATGTCCCACACATCCTGACTGCTACATGTGATGTCCCACACATCCTGACTGCTACATGTGATGTCCCACACATCCTGACTGCTACATGTGATGTCCCACACATCCTGACTGCTGCATGTGATGTCCCTCACATCCTGACTGCTACATGTGATGTCCCACACATCCTGACTGCTACATGTGATGTCCCTCACATCCTGACTGCTGCATGTGATGTCCCTCACATCCTGACTGCTACATGTGATGTCCCACACATCCTGACTGCTACATGTGATGTCCCACACATCCTGACTGCTGCATGTGATGTCCCACACATCCTGACTGCTACATGTGATGTCCCTCACATCCTGACTGCTACATGTGATGTCCCACACATCCTGACTGCTGCATGTGATGTCCCACACATCCTGACTGCTACATGTGATGTCCCACACATCCTGACTGCTACATGTGATGTCCCACACATCCTGACTGCTACATGTGATGTCCCACACATCCTGACTGCTACATGTGATGTCCCTCACATCCTGACTGCTACATGTGATGTCCCACACATCCTGACTGCTGCATGTGATGTCCCACACATCCTGACTGCTACATGTGATGTCCCACACATCCTGACTGCTACATGTGATGTCCCACACATCCTGACTGCTGCATGTGATGTCCCACACATCCTGACTGCTACATGTGATGTCCCACACATCCTGACTGCTACATGTGATGTCCCACACATCCTGACTGCTACATGTGATGTCCCACCCATCTGACTGCTACATGTGATGTCCCACACATCTTGTTTATTGATGATGTTTCATACACTTTGACTGTTGCATGTAAAACTCCACACACTTTGACTATTGCATGTAAAACTCAATACACTTAGACTGTTGCATGTAAAACTTCATACACTTTGACTATTGCCTGTAAAACTCAATACACTTTGACTGTTGCATGTAAAACTCCACACACTTTGACTGTTACATGTAAAACTCCATACACTTTGACTGTTGCATGTAAAACTTCACACACTTTGACTGTTGCATGTAAAACTCCATACACTTTGACTGTTGTATGTAGAACTCCACACACTTTGACTATTGCAAGTAAAACTCCACACACTTTGACTGTTGCATGTAAAACTCCATACACTTTGACTGTTGCATGTAAAACTCCACACACTTTGACTATTGCAAGTAAAACTCCACACACTTTGACTTTTGTATGTAGAACTCCACACTCTTTGACTATTGCATGTAAAACTCCATACACTTTGATTATTGCCTGTAAAACTCCACACACTTTGACTATTGCATGTAAAACTCCACACACTTTGACCATTACATGTGATGTTTCATGCATTGATCGACGATCTAGTCTGTCACAGTGACCACGACTGTCTTGTATCTGTGATCCAGGTGTGTACTCAAAGTACAATGAGCAGGAAGAGATCTGTGTACAGTTCCTGTACTGTGGGCAGTGCCGGGAAGCTTCCCCTCAAAACACGCCGGCAGTTGGGGCTGAGGTCAAACTTGCTACAGGTTCGGGAGCAAGGTTCAGCAAGGGTCAGGTAAGTGCACATCCCGAGGGCGTCAGTTTTTCTGTTCAAGCAGGCTTATTAGTAAACTGGACACTGTCCAGGAATGTTAGAAATTGTTGACACATTGAATCATTTATTTTTGTCAATTATAGCAAAAGTGTTCTTGTTCGTTTTCACCAGCTGTAAACTCGACGGAAAGTTCTGGTTGTTCATCCACTTCTGGACTTCAGTCTTGTCCAGAATTTGAGTCTAGCATGAACATCTCTTTTTCAGATCTGGCTTTTTTTTTGGTAAGCAGATGGTTGGTTCCTTGTTTCTCAGGGATTCTGGAGATGTGGTTTTACGTAAAGGTAACGTCAGGAGATGTGAACCAGCGTCATTGCACACGGTTATAAACCATAAGTGCTCTGCCACCAGTACGGAGAGCTGATAAGAAACTGTCCACCTGTGTCGCTGTCGGCACGCAACTCCACAGCTACAGTGATGTTCCTCTGTTTACCCCAGAGTGTTAATTCTGGTACCCATTACCTAGAGGCTTGGTGAACCCTGAGGAATCGCCTGGTTTCAAACACCAGCCATGGGCTGCAGCGAGTTGCAGCTGGATTTGAAAGTGAGTCTCCTATCGACTGTGCTAACGCGGCCCGTGGTTTTACATAAGAATCTTTACCAATCCTTTGACTGTTTAAAAAAAAAATTGCCCATATGTTTTGAAAGCGGTGAGGACTTGAGAGCTTATCACAAACATCAAAAAGAGACAGGTAGCAATGAGAAGAAGGAAATGTAAACATATTGTGACCACTGAAAAAATCAGGGAAAAAGTACACAGAAAAACAATGTGAGAATATTCTTAACAACCTTTTGATACAGAAGTTTATATCTCCCTCAACACTCGAAGGAATGAAAGAGGATGTGAAGAGGAAGTAGAAGATGATGTCAACAGAGATCTCTGCCTATCGTGTTGCTGCCAGGCATTCCAGGAGGGGAGAAAAGAAGTGTCTATGATCAAGGCAGCCAGAATAGCATTGTTTGTTTGTTTTAGTATCCAGAAGCCATGAGTTGTTAACCCTTAGGCTCGGTATTTTGGATATCGCAACCTTTCGGCCTTGATTCCATTGTAAACACTATAAATCTGGGAGAAATGTGGCTTTTCTGCCTACCCCCGGGCGTGAACCCGGACCACAAGGAGTTCGTCACCCGGTCACCGCGCAATCTGGTTTAGCCAACTACGCTAGAGAGCCGGGCGCCAGAATAGCAAGATGCAGAACTTTAAATCTCCCACAACATTCAAAGCAATGAAGGAGGAAGTAGAAGATTCTGGTATATACATATCTGGATTTCACCTGGACAGTACACAAACAACATCACAGCCCTCGGGACATTCCTGTAAGCTTCTGAGAGGATTCTGAGGCCTCTCTGTGGTGAAAACAAGAATAGACCCACTGCCTTCCCCGAAGCATGTTGTGAGAATCAACTAATTGGGAGCTTACTTCGAAGTCAGAGTACATTTGCCTGTGAGGCAAGGAACCAACAGTCTGCATACAAATGAGTTAGAACTGCTAAATGGATGTGCATGCAATACTCAGGTTCTGAAACAGGACCTAAGTCCAGGAGTGGATGAACAACCAGAAATCTTCGCTGGAGTTTATAAAGTCGGTGAATGTGAAGAAGAAGATTGCCATAACGTGTTGATAGTGTTACTTTTAGTTGCATCCTTTAGATTTTTCTCCAGGAATGCCGGTGTGTAGGGAAACTAGCAAGGAGATAGAGTGGCCGGTTCTGCACTACTTGGTGATTGAATTTGATTGAATTGAATTTGGGAGCGACTGAACAGTGCTGAGGCACAGACCATTACGGTCTGAGCAGAATGGCTCTGCAAGGAGTTACCAGGGGATCTGGCTGACATTTAACACTCAAAGAAAAGGGGAGATGAATATACAGACAGTTACTGGTGCCATCAGAATTTGAACTCTTTGCTTGCTGCTGCTGATGTGGACAGAGTGCTTATTGGAGTGTCCCGAGTGCTGTGAGGCTGATTCTTAATTCAACATGCACTGATAGTTTTGCCAGAGTGACTCACTGGCAGCTGCTTAACATCATCATCATTATATCCCTCATCTCCTTGGCAGAACTTTATTCTGATCACAATTCATTGGAAAGACATGATCTGATATGTTTCCTGTATTAATGCCCTCCCCTTAGATGTCCTGTTCCCATCATTGTGGTGGTCAACCCTTCCCCTTTTCTTTCAGAAACCATGACTTCCTTAACCACCACCACTTCTTCTTCTGCATGAGGTCTTAAAAGGGTGTTGAAATATAGGATCTAATATGGTTTACAGCTAGGCTGCGACATCTGCATTTTTTTTTACCTAGTGCATCAGATTTGAGCAAAACCTCAACAGCCTCCTGTTACAGCATGCATGTTAAAGCACATCTAGTCTATCGCCTCCCCCCCCCCCCCCCCCCCCTTCCCAACTACTACTTCTGAATTCGTCCTTAATTCTTTCTGTCCCAGAAAGTACTAGCTGATGTCTGAGAGAGAGACAAGAACGACATCATTACATTTTTGGGTATATTACTTCTGCAGGGGCTGAATACACACTCCTTGTAAGAGACAAATATGTTGTCTGGGTATTTTCAAGATTCTCTGACTGACTAAACATGAGGTATAAGAACATATGTAATGTATTGAATAAGTACACATAAATAATTCAGAGTCACACGTAGTGCGTTGTTTGGGACAGAAAGACTCAAAACTGATGGGTTTATATTTGTCAACCCTTTGTTTATTTTTCCATCATGAACACATTGTTTTTTTCCTTAGATGTGGCTGTTCTTGGGTGCTATCACTCAGAGAGAGGGGCAGTGAGTGGCCAGCAGTTACTGCAGGACATTGCTGTCATTGGCTACCAGCTACTGCAGGACAGTGCTATCATTGGCTACCAATTACTGCAGGACAGTGCTGTTATTGGCTACCAGTTACTGCAGGACAGTGCTGTCATTGGCTACCAGTTACTGCAGGACATTGCTGTCATTGGCTCCCAGTTACTGCAGGACAGTGCTGTCATTGGCTACCAGTTTCTGCAGGACAGTGCTGTCATTGGCTACCAGTTACTGCAGGACAGTGCTGTCACATGAGGCCAAGTTCAACAGGACAGCGCTGTCACTGAGAAAACATCTAATGCCTGACATTCTCAGCGTGGTGTCAGAGATGTTTTTACATGATGTTTCTGACATAAACATACACAAGAACCTGTCAGCCCTACTCAAGCATACAACAGAGCGTCATGTCATCTGTTCATTCTTTCTGCCAATAGTTTTCAGATGAGGAGGCCACTGGCCTCTATGATGTCTGTGGTGCCACGCATGTCTTCAGAGTCCCACACAGCTTGGTTTCTTACCATTGGAATACCAATCAGACAAACCTGGGATCTCTCTGCTAGCACACCTCCCCTAAAATTGGGAGCATGAAACCCACAGGGAAACTTCATTGATGAATTTTTTAATTTTTTTTTTTAGTTTTTGCACTTTAAGATTACATTCTGTAGATTTAACAACTCAAGGATAAGAATCGGATACAAATCCTGGAAACCTCATTTAACCAGTAGCCATATAGCACAGTTAAACTAGGGCAACACTGGTTATAAAGTAACCAGTGTGGGTGGGTTGTGTGTGATCTTTAATTACATGGCTTTCCTCGCCGGTGCTACAGAGCCTGCGCTGAGCTTCTTCGGACTAAGACTTGAGTTAGAAGAAGAATGGAGCACTTATGGGTTACTATCCTTGCGCCATGATGGTGATCCAGTGTTCAAACCTTTTAATTACGTGGCTACAACGATTTCTTTCAGTGTCAGCCAGGGTATTGCTACTTCTGTGAATACCGTCCACAACTTCTCGTCCAGCAGTTTGGATAAAGGAAGCATACTGCAGCACTCTCCACTGTTTCAGGTCTTGTCAGATTTTCTAATACATCTACAGCAGTAGTGTCCCAACATTTCTTAGATGGTTCCCCCCTTCCCTGAATATATGGCAAGGGGACCCATTGAGGGTCACCAACGAGTGGTAATTTAGTGTCTAAATATGAGTGTGATGATCAACACTGTCTTGATGATGTTTGCTATTTGAAGTCTAATGTAGGACAAGGCACAAGGGAGATCACTCTCTGCATTAAGCTAACAGCGCTGTATTGTTTTTGTGACTTGAATTTTAATTTATAATTAAAGTGGAAAAAGGGGGGGGGGGGAAATGTTAGTATAACAGGTTATTATAAGTACAAGTTAACTCAATTTGAAAGTTGCTTGACACCCATCATGAAACCTCTTTGTACATAAAGGTTGAAAACTGCTAATCTACAGCCACTGACAGGTCTAAGATATTCTGTTAAACCCTCACTAGGCAGATTTACACACACACACAAAACTGATGAGCTCCGAGATAGACCCAGCCTACAGTGCGTATCAGGAGTGTCCTGGGAAGTAAAGGTGGCCAGATTGTTAGCCACATCACCCATCTAGTGCCGGCTGGCCTAGAAACATATGGGTTTAGCATTACATGCCTCATTTGGAAAAGGGTCCTTTACTTTTTACATTGTAGTCAATGATGGTCTTGTAAGTCACTAGTTAATGTTATTCTATAGCCATTACAAACATTGATATCTCACAGGTGACACAGTGGGCATCAGCTGGAAAATAATGGGAAGACAGAATGATGATGATATATCCCACATGCTCTTTCCTCCTCCCTCTCATCATAAATGCAAACACTAGGAGAAAATTGTAGTGACATTGAAATCACCGGTTTATTGCAATGAAAGACTTTCTGGTTTGGTGTACAATGTTGTGTGTAGGTACAATTTAACCATTGTGCTTGGACTACAAATATATTCTTGTGTGTGTGTGTGTATCTCTAGGGAATGCTGAAGATAGTAGTAACTTGGTTATTGTGTATCTCTAGGGAATGCTGAAGATAGTGTAGTAACTTGGTTATTGTGTATGTAGCACACTATCATGTTATTTCTGCGTATTATTAAGACTAACTCCAGTCAATTCTGGGTGGTCTCGAGGCATAGTGTCTGCCTCGAGTGCTAAAGGTGCCGGGTTCAATCCCCTGTAAGGGCTGGGATTTTTTTCACGTGTACTTGGACTTCAGTAATTCCCCCTGGTCTCTGAGTAGTGACACCGGACACCTGTGTGCATTGTTGCATACATTTTTTTTAAAAATCGAAAAGAGTAGCCTAACAGCGCTGCCCGGGTAAAATTTGGAGAGCATGTGCACTGTGCTGAGCTGACTCGGGCTTGAGTAAAGGAAGCTTATGGGTGTCATTATGTTGATCAAACCTCAAAACCTAGTCAATTACGCTTGCAGCACAGGCCCATTAATGCTAATATATCACCTGGCTTGTGGTGAAAAAAATGCGCAATTAAATTCCATTGATTCCGTGCGTGCCTGTACCCAGGCTTTGTTGAATACAGTGACTTTAAAAAAAAAAAAAAATTAGTGGGGGAGAGGGTGTTTACTTACGACTCCAGTGGCCTTTTAAATCGTGTTTGTCAAATCTCCCCTAAGCCTCAGTGAAAAGGGGCCAGCAGTACATATTGTATTTATTTAGGCTCTATTCCATTAATGCTGTGAACATTGATTACCCATTAATATATTTCTGCAGGACAAATTATTTAAAACATGAGTAAATATATATATTTTTTTAAATTTTTCTTTAACGATTTCTTACAGGATTTTTTTTTTTTTTTAAACCATTCGTGGGTTGGGTTGTATTCTGCTTGTTTTTGGCACATTACTGTCTCCCTGTTGGAGGAAGAATGTGTGTGTTTGTCAAAACAATATCCTGCAGTAAGTTGAACAGTCTACTGTCTCTGATGGTCAGTCAAAACTGTCACATTGTGTGGGACACAGTCAACTGTATCGTTAAGTGGTCAACCTGTAGTGTGTGAGTGTAATCATATACATGTTTATAAAACATTTCTGCAGTTGAACTGTTTATATATTATTATTTAAATATAAAATCAAGCATGTGATTTAACATGTGTTGAATATCTTCCTGCTAGCTTCTGGCCTTTTTGTCTTTTTTTTTTTTAAAGCTCAGGTCAGCAAACCAATCAACAAGAAACTTATCATGGGAAATATGGTGAGGACCTCTAGGGCAGACTGGTCGTTCATCTCATTATATAGTTTCCAGACAAACGACATAGTCCTATGCTGGTTTACACACACAGAATTCCTTTTTAAATATTCCCCTCTTCCCCAACCCACACATACACTAGCATTGAATTGTGTGCGATTGAAAGATTAAAACTTGTGTCTATTTTTTAAATAATCTTTTCTCCCTCATGTTAAAAAATGTGTGCCTGCTGTGTTTTTTTTTTTTTAAATTCTTCCTTTTTTTGCTTCACGCATACACACACTACTAGAATTTGTGCCTAGTTTTTCATTCTTCACTGTTTTTAACTCATTCAGTCCCAAAGAACATCATAGGATATGTGTCATTCATTCAGTCAATGCACATTTAAAAAAAAAATCTGGCTTCTATGGTGAGTGCCTTCTATTGTCTGCAGCCAGGGTGAAGGTAATTTCATGATGCTGGCCTTTACCTCCTTCAGCAATTCTCCTGGGACCGAAACGGTTAAATTCTTCACACACACAGACAGACGCACACACACACATGGGGTGCTACTAGCACCGCCAGGAAATGACCGCTCTGCTGAAGAGACTACTTTTGCTTCCCAAACTGCTGGTCCAGAATGTCGTCCTGTAGAGCTGACAGAAAGTCCCTGGACAGAGAAAAATACCAGCATTCAGAGAACAGTAACCAAATCATATTACAGCTTCCAGTCAGGAGGGGTATAATGTCACTCCTGACAAACTACCTACACAATGAGGACCCTAGAAACTGTATCTGCGTTTAAATATATAGAGTGTACAGTAAAGGACCCTTTTCTGCGCCTTAAGGGGTATTGGGTATATAGGGCTAGATCTATATTTTATAGACCAAATGGCACTTGATGGGTGATGTGGCCACTTTCACTTCCCAGGACTGTTCCTGGTACCCGCCTAAGGCTGGAAGCCAAGGTCATCTTTGAAAGAAAAAAAAGTCCGGCCCCTGTCAGAACCCAAACCCATGACCTTCCGATCTGCAGGCGAGCCCCGAGCCGCTAGACCACAGCCACTTCCATTTATATATATATATATACACATATATATATATATACACATATATATATATATATATATATATACACACATATATATATATACACACATATATATATATACACACATATATATATATACACACATATATATATATACACACATATATATATATACACACATATATATATATACACACATATATATATATACACACATATATATATATACACACATATATATATATACACACATATATATATATACACACATATATATATATATACACTGTTTTTTAAAAACTTATCCAATTCCTTTTTTTTTTTATGTAGATGACAGGAAAGCCCTAAAAATTATTGATGACGGACCCCTCCCCCTGATATCATAGACTAGCTTTAAACCTCAAAACAGTGTACCAACTGCTCTTTTAACCCTCTCACCCAGGGACCAGCCGTGTTTATACGTGTGAGTTGACATGATGCCTTAGTGGCCAGTACGTCTGTACGGCAGCTCTGGACTAGCTACAGCTGCACCATAGTATGTGTATGTTTGTATTTACCCATACATTTTTTTATCAGTTATCATTTGGGGCGTGGAAAATTAATTTTTAAACATTGTGATGTCACATAATAATATATATATAAAAAAAAGAATTCTTACGAGGGTGAAATGGTTTAGGGTAAACAAAGAATATAACCTTCATAATGAAAGCTAAAACTGACCCCAACTGGTTGCTCTGATCATCATCTCTGTCCTGGGATCTGATTTCAGGCTGTGGTTTGCGTACACGGTCTGAATAAAAAAAAGTGGTTGCTGCATTATAAATTCATATCTAATTAGATGAGTGACACAGCATTTAATGGCTTTATAAACCAGTAAAAAGCAATACGTTAATGATATCTTGTTGTTTTAATGTCACAAATTGTAGTTGTGTAGAACATAACTGATTAAAGCTAAATCTTTCATCGTATCGTGAGACTACTGGACTACATTGTGACAGTGGGAAAGTAAAAAAGGCAAGGGAGACAGAGAGAAAATGCTGAACAGTCATGGCATGGAAGATTGTCTGTATCAGAACTGATGTACATGAAACAGAAGGCTGTGGTACCATCAGAATTTTAACTCTTTGCTTGCTGCTGAAGATGGGGATAAAGCGCTTATGGGGGTGTCCTAAGTGCTGTGATGTCGATTCTTAATTCAACATTCATTCAACATTTGTGGACAGACATGACTATCAGCTCTTGCAGTCTTATCTGGCGACTCATAAAATGTAAACTAACAGGCAGATGAGAGGTCAGAGGCAATAGGTGTTATGAATATCAAGTATGATGTTATAATGAGGCGTATCATGTTAAGAGTCCAGATGAAATTAGGTTCTTTCAAAGCCACAGTGTCCAGGACAAGTGTTTGATTCTAGATAACAAGTAAGTTGATGCCGGGAGTATGTTTGTGCTATCACAGAGAAGAGGTTTTATGTCAGACATTCTCTAGATACCTCCCGTTCATTTCACACACTTCTTCTTCTTCATGTTTTTGTGCCTAAAAACTCCCACGTAAAGCTCTGGGTGTTCGTCCACTTTTGGAATTTAGTCCTGTTCCTTCTTCTTCTAATTCATCATGTTCTTCACATTCACCAGCTGTAAACTCTGGCTGAAAGTTCTGATTGTTCCGTCCACCTCTGGACATCAGTCTTATTCCAGAACCTGCGTCTTATATGCACATTCGTTTAACAGATGTGGTTTATTTGTATGCAGACTGTTGGTTCCTTGCTGCTCAGGCAGATGTACTCCACCTTTGGAGGAAACACCCCTAAGTAGACTAGTTTTACAACAAGCTCATTAAAGGGGTAGCGTATACACACACACACAAAGCTGTAAAGGATATGCAACTAGCTGTTATTTTGTTTCTTTATAAAGTCTTTATCATTAATATCCCGGGGGGGGGGGGGGGGGGGGGTCCAAATTACCATATTTGTCTGTATATATAATGATATGTCCTATTTTTTCAGTTTAAAATTAAAAATCATACACGGGATGTGTTTAAAATATTTACTTCTAAAATCTAGGATTTTAAAAAAAATGGGGGATTGTCTAGTATAATGGGGGGTATCTCCTGCACGGACAATGACGGTATATACTTGTATGACAGTGGTTTTCAGCCTTCCTAAAGCGCAACCCTTTAATACAGTTCCTCGTGTTGTTACGATCCCCAATTATAAAGTAATTTTTTTTTGTTGCTACTTCATAACTTCAGTGAATATATGTTTTCCAATAGCCTTAGGTGACCCCTGTGAAAGGGTTGTTCGACCCCCACTTACAAGGTGAGAACCGCTGTTTTATGAGAAGGAAAGTTTACGACCATAATGAAATGTGTTGTCAGATTCCTGAAAAAAAACAGGGAGGGCACACTTTGTCAGTCCTCACCTGGAAAGATGCTCTGAATCTGTCTCCTGGAGCCATTCTGCTGCCCCATCTCCTGAGATGTCTGTTCAAGAATGTCTGATATTCGACTGAGTTGCCTCTCCAGCCTGGTGTGTGCGTCTGAGGTGGTCGTCAAGCGAGGGGATGACCGTACTTCATCTTTGATACTTGTCACTGCCATCAGTTCTTCGATGCTGATCTGGACAAACATTTACAGAAGCATCAGTTCAACTTAGTTTAGTAAAAGCTAAAGGTAAAGTCGGGAGATGTGAACCAGCGTCATTACACAGTTATAAACCATAAGTGCTCTACCACCAGTACGGTGGCAGCTGATAAAAAAAAACTGTGCACCTGTGTCACCGTCACAAAACTCCATAGCTACAGCGACGTTCCTCCATTTATCCCAGAGTGTTAACTCTGGTATCCAGTGCCTAGAGGCTGGGTGAACCCCGGTTTCTAACACCGGCTGTGGGCTGTAGTGAGTTGCAGCTGGATTTGAAAGCGAGTCTCCTATTGACTGCGCTAACACAGTCCTCGAACTTACTTAGTTTAATGGTGTGGTCAATCAGTCAAATATGGTTGTAGGTTTAATTATCAAAGCAGTTACTTAAAACAGTGCAGATCTGATAAGGAGAATTCACCTGGGTGCCAAGAAATGGTTCTTCACATCAGAAATGTCACTTACCCAGATAAGAATTCAAGCAAGAAAAACTGCAGAATTTAAATAAATTATTCTTCAAAACAGAAATTCACCATATCAGAGGTTACCTTGAGCGGTCTGCGCTGTAAAATGAACCCATTTAAATACTAACTGTCATAGTCTAGTTTCAGAAAACTGAAACTGTTGTCCCACACACAGAGTGGTCGATAAGACTCAGATAAAGAGTGTATCATGGATATTCATGTGTGAGGGGAAATTAACAATCTGACCGACTGGCAGTTGCCACTCCTTTGGGCGGTGAGCTACTTTATGATGTGGATAGCTGGATGAAAGTGACTTGCACAAGGACTTGGATTTAAGTGAGGAAGAGTTGCGCAATTCATCGACCTCACTCTCTCGATTGGAAATGGACCTAGGTGCAGTGGATGACCAAGGCGTCTTAAGTGCCCTGCCTTGCTCGAAGCTCTCCACAGAGCCTGCTGATAAACGCCTTCTTGTCCGTTCAACCTATAAGAGGTTTCATCCGCACAATCCAGTAGCTCCAGTCTTTGCATGAAAGGTAGGCATATCCCGATCACCGAGTGGTTTAGAACCAGGTTGGCTACCCTCTCCTCATTTAGCCAGCCCAACAAAGCTGTTGCCCGGGAGGTGGCCGCTGTCGCATGCTGGGAGACTATGATACAGTGGATGCGGTGAAAGCTTTCTAGAATTAAATGGACAGCATAACAGAACAGAGAGAAAATCCATACGTAAAAGACTTATTCAACAGGTATGAGTAGAGGTTCTGGAAGATATTCTTCTTTGTTTACTGGCTGTAAGCTCCAGTGGAAAGTACTGGTTGTTCATCCATTTGGACTCTGGCTTTGAGCACGACACAGCTCCTTGTCACATCTACATACATCACACAGCTCCTGGACACATCTACATACAGGATACAGTTCCCATACACATCTACATACAACACACAGCTCCCAGACACATCTACATACAACACACACACAGCTCCCAGACACATCTACATACAACACACAGCTCTCAGACACATCTACATGCAACACACAGATCCCAGATACATCTAGATACAACACAGCTTCCAGACACATCTACATACAACACACAACTCCCAGACATATCTACATACAACACACAGCTCCCAGACACATCTACATATAACACACAACTCCCAGACACATCTACATACAACAAACAACTCCCAGACACATCTACATACAACACACAGCTCCCAGACACATCTACATATAACACACAGCTTCCAGACACATCTACATACAACACACAGCTTCAAGACACATCTACATACAACACACAGCTTCCAGACACATCTACATACAACACACAGCTTCCAGACACATCTACATACAACACACAGCTTCCAGACACATCTACATACAACACACAGCTTCCAGACACATCTACATACAACACACAACTCCCAGACACATCTACATACAACACACAGCTCCCAGACACATCTACATACAACACACAGCTTCCAGACACATCTACATACAACACACAGCTTATAGACACATCTACATACAACACACAGCTTCCAGACACATCTACATACAACACACAACTTCCAGACATATCTACATACAACAAACAACTCCTAGACACATCTACATACAACACACAGCTTCCAGACACATCTTCATACAACACACAACTCCCAGACACATCTACATATAACACAGCTCCCAGACACATCTACATACAACACACAGCTTCCAGACACATCTACATACAACACACAGCTTCCAGACACATCTACATACAACACACAGCTTCCAGACACATCTACATACAACACACAGCTTCCAGACACATCTACATACAACACACAACTCCTAGACACATCTACATACAACACACAGCTTCTAGACACATCTACATACAACACACAACTCCCAGACATATCTACATACAACACACAGCTCCCAGACACATCTACACATAACACAACTCCCAGACACATCTACATATAACATAGCTCCCAGACACATCTACATACAACACACAGCTTCCAGACACATCTACATACAACACACAGCTTCCAGACACATCTACATACAACACACAGCTCCTGGACACATCTACATACAACACACAGCTCCTGGACACATCTACATACAGTGCACAGACCCATCTAACAGTGGCCCCCAAGCACACCTGGCGACATACCTCTCTGTCTGTAGACAAGCTAGACTCCTTGAGGTACGAGAAGTCGGTCTCCATCATGTACTGTGCCGCAGCCTTGAAGGACACCAGGCAGTAGCTGCAAGGGTTGGTGTGCCCAACCAAAGACAACAACAGTCAGTGGTGCCAGATTTAGACATGAGCTAACTAAGCTGCCATTTAGGGCCTCACATTCTGCATGGGCCTTAACCAATTTTTATTTCTGTTTGTTCACAAATTCAATTTTCTTTTGATAGAGCCTTCAATAGAGTTGTATAATTTCTGTGATTTTGCAGACACATTCTATTTTTTTTTTCTTTTATTAAAAAATTAAACAAATTTTTATCATTCTTATATTTAAAAAGCATATCTATTTTCAGATTTTCGGAGATTAGCTGGTGTGATAATAAACAGTAGAGGCCTCACGGCTCTATATTTCTTAGGGCCTCGTCTACTCTGAATCCGGCCCAGCCTGTCAGCCAACATCATATTTGTAAGAGAACCACCTCGCTGGCACACTCAAACACACCGACACATACGTAGAGTTCATCATCATCCTGTTGTGCCATTACAGAGCTCACAGTCTACTCCTGAATTAAGTTCCAGTGCTGTTCTTTCGATATCATGGTTGGAATACGGCTCGTATTCTAGTCCTCCAGAACATATATTTGTTAGAGAACGCACTCTCAGACACACCGACACACACGTAGAAATATGCTGCCTTCATAAAGTCACGAACAACACAGGGTCACAAATACCAGTATTAGAGAGAAAACTGGAATAAGACAGTGTCCTAATTAGATCGACAGAAAAATGATGAAATGGTTCGTCCAGCTAGTCCAGTATCTCTGGCCTCTTTCTTCTTTTTCTCTCGTTCTCTCAGCCAGAGGTTCTGAGATGAGAAAGCAACAGTTGATGAAGTCTGTGGTGCAATGCGTGTCTTCCACTGAGTCATACCAGTGTTGCCACTTTGGATGTTTTACATCCAGATTTAGATGTTTATATATATTTTTTGGCTCCATTTTGAATGTTTTTTGTGAAAGAAAAGTGGCAACACTGACTCATACTGACTGGCTTCCATTGGAGTTGCTAGACACTCACCTGCTGATACAGAGGTTGTGGGTTCAGGTACTGATGGACCCAGGATCTTTCTTCTCCAAAACAGCCTTGGCTCCTAGGTTGACTCAGCCTTGGCTCCTAGGTCGACTCAGCCATGGCTCCTAGGTCGACTCGGCCTTGGCTATTAGGTCGGCTCAGGCCTTGGCTCCTAGGTCAGCTCAGCCTTGGCTCCTAGGTCGGCTCAGCCTTTGCTCCTAGGCCATCTCAGCCTTGGCTCCTAGGTCAACTCGGCCTTGGCTCCTAGGTCAGCTCAGCCTTGGCTCCTAGGTCGGCTCAGCCTTGGCTCCTAGGTCAGCTCAGCCTTGGCTCCTAAGTCGGCTCAGCCTTGGCTCTTAGGTCATCTCAGCCTTGGCTCCTAGGTCGACTCAGCCTTGGCTCCTAGGTCGACTCAGCCTTGGCTCCTAGCTGGACTCAGCCTTGGCTCCTAGGTCAACTCGGCCTTGGCTCCTAGGTCGACTCAGCCTTGGCTCCTAGGTCGGCTCGGCCTTGGCTCCTAGGTCGACTCGGCCTTGGTTCCTAGGTCGACTCGGCCTTGGCTCCTAGGTCGACTCAGCCATGGCTCCTAGGTCGACTCAGCCATGGCTCCTAGGTCGACTCAGCCATGGCTCCTAGGTCGACTCAGCCATGGCTCCTAGGTCGACTCAGCCATGTCTCCTAGGTCGACTCAGCCATGGCTCCTAGGTTGACTCAGCCAAGGCTCCTAGGTGGACTCAGCCATTGCTCCTAGGTGGACTCAGCCTTGGCTCCTAGGTGGACTCAGCCTTGGCTCCTAAGTCGACTCAGCCTTGGCTCCTAAGTCGACTCAGCCTTGGCTCCTAAGTCGACTCAGCCTTGGCTCCTAAGTCGACTCAGCCTTGGCTCCTAGGTGGACTCAGCCTTGGATCCTAAGTCTACTCAGCCTTAAATATGCCCTGTTAAAGGGAAAACAAGAATAGACCCACTGCCTACCCAAAAGCATGTCGTAAAAGTCGACTAATTGGGAACTTCCTTCGAGAGGCAAGGAACCAGCAGTCTGCATACAAATGAGTTAGATCTGTTAAACGGATGCACACACAACACTCAGGTTCTGGAACAGGAGTGCAGTCCAAAAGTGGATGAACAACCAGAACTTTCCGCCAGTTTACAGCTGGGGAATGCGAAGAAGAAGAAGAACTTCATTTAAAAATGTCAATAGTCATAATGAACACAAATAGAAACGGGAAATGAAGGAATGTAAACCGACAGGGAATACCATAGGCAGAAAAGCAGCAGACCGGCAGCAATGGAGATGACTTGTGAATCCCTTGTGTGTCAACAGCGACATGAAGAGGATATAGTAAAAAAAAAAAAAAAAAAAAAAGAAAGAAAAAAATGATTTTAAATAACAGCCTGTGAAATTTGCTGTCTCTGTAAAGTCCCTAACAACACAAGAACTGACAGAGTTGCAAATATCAGCGTTAGAGCCAAAGCTAGAATAAGACCATTGTGAATTACATTGAAAGACAAAGAATGAAATGGTTCAGCCATCTAGTGAAAATGCAGCCACACCAAGCTGCATTTTCAAATTCTTTACAGTGGAACTGGGAGGAAAGATATTGCAGCCATGCTGTAAACCACAACACAATGTGTCAACCGCCCTTGTAAAAACAAACACTGAGGAAGAACAGAAAGAAGTCATAAAACTAATTAACCTAGAATGTCTATGAGCTGGACCCACCCAAAGTCATCCCTGTCTCTGTCGGTGGACTCCCACACAAAATTCTCGATATAAAAGAGGTCGCTGTGTAGATGGCAGCATTTAGCCCTGGCTATCACAGTCACCTGTAATATGACACAAGTAAGTAAAAATAAGTAAAGAAACCTTGCAGCCAAGGTCATATTTAAAAAAAAGTCAGGCTTCGCCAGGGAGCGAACCCATAACCTTCCGATCCGCAGGCGAGCGTGTAGCCGCTAGGCCATGGCGACTTCCCATGACACAAGTACCATAGTTACAATACAGATAATACATCAGAGTGCTCGTGAGTTCTGTAGTTTGCTAACAGCTGAACATGATTTCTAAACAGATTAATTAAAGGACTCTTTATATGCCAGTGGTGAATGTTCTCCCACATTTGCTGAAGTTTACAATTTAGGAGTTGTCCTTTATATGGAATGTGCCCGGCTTTCTCGCGTAGTTGGCTAAACCGGATTGCGCGGTGACCGGGTGACAAACTCCTTGTGGTCTGGGTTCACGCCCGGGGGTAGGCAGAAAAGCCACATTTCTCCCAGATTTACGGTATTTATCATGGAATCAAGGCCGAAGGGTTGCGATATCCATAATAACGAGCCTAAGGGCTAACAACTCATGGCTTCTGAATACTAAACAACAACAAAAATATATGGAATGTGTGTGCAATATTTTTCTCTCAATTCTGGGCTCAAGGTAGAGGTTGTCTTATACAGGGATGTCTTTCACGTCTATACACAGGGGGTGGGGGGAAAGGGTGCGTGCCTTATTCATTGGGTGTCCTATACATGGGGATGTCTTATATCCAGGGTGTTTTATATACTGGTTGCCTTAACATGAAGGGGAAGCCTTATACATAGGGGTGCTTTCTATATGGGGGGGGGGGTGTCTTATATCCAGGATGTTTTATACACTGGGTGCCTTAACATGGGAGGGGAAGCCTTATACATAGGGGTGCATTATTTATGGGGGGGGGGGGGGGGGGGTATCTTATACATGGGGGTGTCTTATATCCAGGATGTTTTATACACTGGGTGCCTTAACATGGGAGGAGAAGCTTTATACATAGGGGTGCTTTATATGGGGGGTATCTTATACATGGGGGTTTCTTATACATAGAGTGTCATATATAGGAGTGTCTTATATGCGAGGGGTGTGTTATACTTAAAGGCATCTTATACATGAGGTGTGTCTTATATGTGGGGGCGTCTTATACATGAGGGTGTCATACATATGAGGTGTCTTATACTTGGAGGTGTCTAATTCATGAGGGGTGTCTTATACACATGGTTGTCTAATATATAAGGGTGTCTTGTACACGGTATACTCGCTTCTGAAGTAAGGCAATGCCGTCATTAGTAGGAAACAGGTTTGACTTCTAGTTGAGTAACCATAGGTCCTTCTATCTTTCTGTGAGCACCCATCAATACATCTTTGCATGTTTATTAAACGTAACAGTAACACCATGGTAGCAATGTTTAACAGTAAAAAAAGGAAAGACCATTTTCCACTCACCAGAATAGGAATCAAGTCGTCTGTGGTGATGCAGGGCTCATAGAAATCATCTGAAGGAAAGCCACAGAAAATATCAACTCAATGGTGGTGACTCTCAGGTGTATCAACACTGATCTCATAAGTTCTACACTAGAGACAAACCAATCAGGATTGGGGATGTTCTGGTCCACTTTCACCCTTTTGCCACAGAAATCCTTAGGGGGGAAAAGCCCCAGAACCCCAGGAAAAATTCCTGTAACTCTTTTAGTCCCAAACAACACATGCCATGTAACTGTCTATTACCTACGTGTCTTCAACATCACATGAAGTGTCGTTTTATATTTAAGTTTTGGTCAGTATATACTAAATAAATCTGGTAACCACAGGCATAATCTTTCAACAATTTTTCACTCCAACAACATACAAGTGGTTAGAGTTTTTATAGCAATATTTAATGAAAATATTTTTTTGCAAAACTTTATGGAACCAAAAGGGTTAACAAAGAACCATTTTACACACATCAATACTACACAAACTAATGTAACAAAAAATACTTGCCTGCAACACAACTGATAAGAGAAATGTTGTTTCAACAATGTTTTGGTAAGAATGGTCAAAGTCACAGTTACAAACTTTTCAGAAATGTTTTTATCTTCACTTTCCAATATATATAAAAAAAAAAAAAAAAAAAAAATATCCCATAAAATAAAAAATATTCCTAAACTTTGACCAACATGCCAGCTCTAACGATGAGATGCCATTATCAGAACATCCACCTAATGCATCACTGTCATGGGAACTTACCAACAAAATTCGTGAAAAATTCACTTCAAGCACTACAAAAGTTTTCCTTAACCTTTAGCACCCCACAGTCGAGTATACTGGACTTCCCCCGCTTATCCCGTAGCACCCCACAGTCGAGTATAGTCGACAACCTTATATGGTCGGGAAAATACCCAACTAAACGGAGCTATGCATTTGACGTCACTTGAAAACTATAAATAACTATTCTACAGTGGTTTAACTTCCTGTAATGGCCGCGAATGGGCTTGTTGGCTCAATTTTTATAAGCCAGTTCGATATCCATCACCATCCTTCGAAATGGAATTTAATTTTTCTGAAATCTTCATGGATTCTGACTCTGACGATTAGATTTTGTGTTTTCATGCAGCCGATATCAGTCGCGAAGTTGATATGTCTGGAGAAGTAAGTGAAGGTAGTTCTGTTTACAGTGTGTCAGATTCTTAGATATACGGAATACGTGGAGATGCATTACTAATTGGTGAGTCTTTATGTTTGTACTGTTTTTTTTTTTACATTTTTCCCATTTCACTCTGTCCTCACACATCACCTATCAAACATACACCAACAAAACTCATATCGATGTATGCAGAAATCATTTGTTTATTTCAGTTTAAATAATTATGCAAAATTATTTATAAACCAAAAAGTTATAGTGTTTTTCATGTTTCCTCCATAAAAAACGCAAAATCTGAAAAAAATAAGGTGGGAGGCAAGGGAAATAATTTGAATTTTTATTGTGGGGTGCTAAAGGTTAAAGATACAGAGAAATGAATGGACTAACAACTTCATCTACGTTTAACGTAAAAATCAAATATTTTACGTGGCAGCGAGTGTCCAAACTTCCTATCACAGGGGATGTGATCAAAGTTGCCAGACATAACAGTCGCTCGATCACATAACGTGTAATCGTGGCAGTCAGTGGATCATGGGTGAATACAGAAGAATACATGTAGCTCAAACAACATATTATTATTTAACAGTTAAAAAAAGGTCAAGGTCAAGTCGGGAGATGTGAACCAGCGTCACTGCACACGGTTATAAACCATAAATGCTCTGCCTCCAGTAAGGACAGCTGATAAGAAACTGTCCGCCTGTGTCAGTGTTTGACGTGACTCCGTAGCTACAGCAACGTACATCCATTGACCCCAGAGTGTTACCCATTACCCAGAGGCTGGGTGAACCCCGGCAAACCGCCCGGTTTCAAACACCAGCTGTGGGCTGCAGCCAGTTGCAGCTGGATTTGAAAGCGAGTCTCCTGTTGACTGCACTAATGCAGCCCTGTATATTTAGGAGTAAAACGTAGCAATAAGCATGACCTACCAGATAAGAAACCATCCAAAGAAATCTGTGCCTGCCTCTTCTCCTGAAGGGAGGCTGCAATACATTCTGTAACATTGTCCTGTTGTGAGTGGAAATCAGTCTAGTCAGTGACAGTCTTACTTCACCCACATCTGATCACCCACATACGACAATCTATTCTGTCTCATCTCCCCCATATCTGACAATCTATTCTGTCTCATCTCCCCCATATCTGACAATCTATTCTGTCTCATCTCCTGCACATCTGACATTCTATTCTGTCTCATCTCCCCAACATCTGACATTCTATTCTGTCTCATCTCCCCCATATCTGACATTCTATTCTGTCTCATCTCCCCAACATCTGACATTCTATTCTGTCTCATCTCCTGCACATCTGACATTCTATTCTGTCTCATCTCCCCAACATCTGACATTCTATTCTGTCTCATCTCCCCCATATCTGACATTCTATTCTGTCTCATCTCCCCAACATCTGACATTCTATTCTGTCTCATCTCCCCAACATTTGACGTTCTATTCTGTCTCATCCCCCCATATCTGACATTCTATTCTGTCTCATCTCCCCAACATCTGACATTCTATTCTGTCTCATCTCCTGCACATCTGACATTCTATTCTGTCTCATCTCCCCAACATCTGACATTCTATTCTGTCTCATCTCCCCCATATCTGACATTCTATTCTGTCTCATCTCCCCAACATCTGACATTCTATTCTGTCTCATCTCCCCAACATTTGACGTTCTATTCTGTCTCATCCCCCCATATCTGACATTCTATTCTGTCTCATCTCCCCAACATCTGACATTCTATTCTGTCTCATCTCCCCAACATCTGACATTCTATTCTGTCTCATCTCCCCAACATCTGTCATTCTATTCTGTCTCATCTCCCCAACATCTGACATTCTATTCTGTCTCATCTCCCCCATATCTGACATTCTATTCTGTCTCATCCCCTGCACATCTGACATTCTATTCTGTCTCATCTCCCCAACATCTGACATTCTGTTCTGTCTCATCTCCCCATATCTGACATTCTATTCTGTCTCATCTCCTCCATATCTGACATTCTATTCTGTCTCATCTCCCCAACATCTGACATTCTATTCTGTCTCATCTCCCCAACATTTGAGATTCTATTCTGTCTCATCCCCCCCCCCCCCCCCACCCCCATATCTGACATTCTATTCTGTCTCAAAAACTGACAACGGATGGACACAAATAAGACTATCTCACCAAAAACAGAAGATGAAGACATCTCACAACAAACAAGAAATGAAGCAGACTACCTCATCACATACAAGAAATGAAGACAGACTATCTCACCACAGACAAGAGATGAAGACATCTCACCACAGACAAAAGATGAAGACAGACTATCTTACCACATACAAAAGCTAGACATTATCTCACCAAATAAAAGAGATGAAGACATTATCTCACCACAGACAAGAGATGAAGACCAACTATCTCACCACAGACAAAAAAATGAGGACACTATCTCACCAGCAAGAGATAAAAACATCTCACCGCAAAGAAGAGATAAAGACAAACACAAGATGAAGACAGACTATCTTACATTGATGAGATAAAGACAGAGTATCTCACCACAAACAAGAGATGAAGACATAATCTCACCACAGACAAGAGATGAAGACATAATCTCACCACAAACAAGAGATGAAGACATAATCTCACCACAGACAAGAGATGAAGACAGACTATCTCACCATATACAAGAGATGAAGACATTATCTCACCACAGACAAGAGATGAAGACAGTTTCACCAAAAACAAGAGATGAAATCATATTATGTCACCATAGACAAGAGATGAAAAAAGATTATGTCACTGTAGACAAGAGATGAAAAAAGATTATGTAACCAAAAACAAAAGATGAAGACAGACTACCTCACCACAAATAAGAGATGAAGTCCCCCGTGTGGGTTCCGGGGCCCCATTGTGGGGAAAACCAGAATAGACCCACTGCTTGCATGTCGTAAGAGTCGACTAATTGTGGAGCTTCCTTTGAAGTCGGAGTGCATCTGCCAGAGAGGCAAGGAACCAACAGTCTGTATTCAAGAGAATGAGATCTGTAAAACTGATGCACATGCAACACTCAGGTTCTGAAGCAGAACTTTCCAACAGAGTGTACAGCTGGTGAACGCGAAGAAGAAGAGATGAAGTCAGATTATGTCACCGTAGACAAGAGATAAAGACATTATCTCATCACAAACAAGAGATGAAGACAGACTATCTCACCAAAAACAAGAGATAAAGACAGACTATCTCACCACAAACAAGAGATGAAGACAGACTTCCTCACCACAAACAAGAGATGAAGACAGACTATCTCACCACAAAAAGAGATAAAGACAAACTATCTCACCAAAAACAAGAGATAAAGACAGACTATCTCACCACAAACAAGAGATGAAGACAGACTTCCTCACCACAAACAAGAGATGAAGACAGACTATCTCACCACAAATAAGAGATGAAGACAGACTATCTCACCACAAACAAGAGATAAAGACAGACTATCTCACCACAAACAAGAGATGAAGACAGACTATCTCACCACAAACAAGAGATGAAGACAGACTATCTCACCACAAACAAGAGATGAAGACAGACTTCCTCACCACAAAAAGAGATAAAGACAAACTGTCTCACCACAAACAAGAGATGAAGACATTACCTAATCACAAACAGGAAATAAAGACAGATTATGTCACAAAAAAACAAAAGATGGAGACAGACTATCTCACCACCAACAAGAGATTAAAACAGTCCACCACAAACAAGAAAGATTAACTCACCACAAACAAGAGATAAAGATATTATCTCACCACAAACAAGAGATGAAGACAGACTACCTCACCACAAACAAGGGATGAAGACAGATTATGTTACAAAAACAAAAGATAAAGACAGACTAGCTTACTAAAAACAAGAGATGAAGACAGACTATCTCACTATAGACAAGAGATGAAGACAGATTATGTAACCACAAACAAGAGATGAAGACAGACTTTATCTCAATACAGACAAGAGATAAGATGACAAAGAACAGACTTTATCTCAATACAGACAAGAGATAAAGACAGACTTACTCAGCACAGACAAGTGATAAGACAACCAAGAATAAACTCACCACTGTCCACTTGAGGCAGGTCAGTTTCTCCCGGGGTGTGGTCAGAGAGCCTAGATTGGCCAACTCAACAACCTGCAGCAAATCAAAGGACTGGTTACGCCATAATAGAATAACCAACAAATCAAACCCAGCCTCAATGACCAACAGATGTAAGCAATAACGGACATATTGTGTTCAAAATATTTGCTTACAGATCTGAAGGTCCACATAGAGCTAGATTTTTTAAAAACAATCATCACTGTGGCTCTCAGGTCAACCAAGCCTTAAATGAGTACCAGGTAAAGTCTTGGGAAGTAAAGGCGGCCAGTGTAATCTTGACTTCATCGACTGGTCAACATAAAAATGTGAATTTAGCCTCATATACCTGACAGGTCACTAGAGCGTAAAGGAACCTTCAATTACTTTTTATTTCTATTATATTGTGTTAAAAATTGGCTTGGATGTTCACAACAGAATAGATTGAGGACATTATCTCACGACAGACAAGAGATGAAGACAGATTATCTCACCACAAACAAGAGATGAAGACATTATCTCACCCTAAAAATATATGAAGACAGATTATCTCATGACAGACAAGAGATGAAGACAGATTATCTCACCACAAACAAGAGATGAAGACAGATTATCTCACCACAAACAAGAGATGAAGACATTATCTCACCCCAAAAAGATATGAAGACAGATGATCTCACCACAAACAAGAGATGAAGACATTATCTCACCCCAAAAAGATATGAAGACAGATTATCTCACCACAAACAAGAGATGAAGACATTATCTCACCCTAAAAAGATATGAAGACAGATTATCTCACGACAGACAAGAGATGAAGACATTATCTCACCCCAAAAAGATATGAAGACAGATTATTTCACCACAAACAAGAGATGAAGACATTATCTCACCCTAAAAATATATGAAGACAGATTATCTCACCACAAACAAGAGATGAAGACATTATCTCACCCTAAAAAGATATGAAGACAGATTATCTCACCACAGACAAAAGATGAAGACATTATCTCACCCCAAAAAGATATGAAGACAGATTATCTCACCACAAACAAGAGATGAAGACATTATCTCACCCTAAAAAGATATGAAGACAGATTATCTCACCACAAACAAGAGATGAAGACATTATCTCACCCTAAAAAGATATGAAGACAGATTATCTCACCACAAACAAGAGATGAAGACATTATCTCACCCTAAAAAGATATGAAGACAGATTATCTCACCACAGACAAAAGATGAAGACATTATCTCACCCAAAAAGATATGAAGACAGATTATCTCACCACAAACAAGAGATGAAGACATTATCTCACCCTAAAAAGATATGAAAGACAGATTATCTCACCACAAACAAAAGATGAAGACATTATCTCACCCCAAAAAGATATGAAGACAGATTATCCCACCACAAACAAGAGATGAAGACATTATCTCACCCTAAAAAGATATGAAGACAGATTATCTCACCACAAACAAGAGATGAAGACATTATCTCACCCCAAAAAGATATGAAGACAGATTATCTCACCACAAACAAGAGATGAAGACATCTCACCCCAAAAAGATATGAAGACAGATTATCTCACCACAAACAAGAGATGAAGACATTATCTCACCCCAAAAAGATATGAAGACAGATTATCTCACGACAGACAAGAGATGAAGACATTATCTCACCCCAAAAAGATATGAAGACAGATTATCTCACCACAAACAAGAGATGAAGACATTATCTCACCCTAAAAAGATATGAAGACAGATTATCTCACCACAAACAAGAGATGAAGACATTATCTCACCCTAAAAAGATATGAAGACAGATTATCTCACCACAAACAAGAGATGAAGACATTATCTCACCCTAAAAAGATATGAAGACAGATTATCTCACCACAAACAAGAGATGAAGAAATTATCTCACCCTAAAAAGATATGAAGACAGATTATCTCACCACAAACAAGAGATGAAGACATTATCTCACCCTAAAAAGATATGAAGACAGATTATCTCACCACAGACAAAAGATGAAGACATTATCTCACCCCAAAAAGATATGAAGACAGATTATCTCACCACAAACAAGAGATGAAGACATTATCTCACCCTAAAAAGATATGAAGACAGATTATCTCACCACAAACAAAAGATGAAGACATTATCTCACCCCAAAAAGATATGAAGACAGATTATCCCACCACAAACAAGAGATGAAGACATTATCTCACCCTAAAAAGATATGAAGACAGATTATCTCACCACAAACAAGAGATGAAGACATTATCTCACCCCAAAAAGATATGAAGACAGATTATCTCACCACAAACAAGAGATGAAGACATTATCTCACCCCAAAAAGATATGAAGACAGATTATCTCACCACAAACAAGAGATGAAGACATTATCTCACCCCAAAAAGATATGAAGACAGATTATCTCACGACAGACAAGAGATGAAGACATTATCTCACCCCAAAAAGATATGAAGACAGATTATCTCACCACAAACAAGAGATGAAGACATTATCTCACCCTAAAAAGATATGAAGACAGATTATCTCACCACAAACAAGAGATGAAGACATTATCTCACCCTAAAAAGATATGAAGACAGATTATCTCACCACAAACAAGAGATGAAGACATTATCTCACCCTAAAAAGATATGAAGACAGATTATCTCACCACAAACAAGAGATGAAGACAAAAATACTTGTCAAGGCCCTTTGGGAACAAGCAATAGAAAAAGTAGAGACAGAAGATTATTATGACCTGGGGAGAATGAGGTACCTGGGTGTAACCAGAGGGTCTGGCCGGCTCACTACACTCAGAGGAAAGGCAAGACAGACATATAAGCAGATTGTGACCGGTTCCATCAGTACTGGAACTCTGCACTGGCTGCTGAAGATGAGGACGAAGCATGCAAGGGAATGCCCCAAGTGATGTGATGTCAATTCTTGACTCAATCCAACTAAACACAACATAAGAGATTATTCGTGCAAACTGTGTCCAAAACCGACTTGGACGTACACAACAAAACAGTTTATGCATGTGCACTGGGTCCAAAACTGATTTCAATCACATCAACTTAAACAATGTGAAAACAGTTCTTAGTGTAAAAACTGGTATGTCAGTCATTTTAACTTAAACAGTGTCAAAACTGGTATGTCAGTCATTTTAACTTAAACAGTGTCAAAACTGGTATGTCAGTCATTTGAACTTAAACAGTGTCAAAACTGGTATGTCAGTCATTTTAACTTAAACAGTGTCAAAACTGGTATGTCAGTCATTTTAACTTAAACAGTGTCAAAACTGCCCTTACTGTGTGAAAAATTAACATCTGCCACATTAACTTAAAGTGTCAAAATGGCGCTTACCTTACTGTGTGAAAAATTAACATCTGCCACATTAACTTAAAGTGTCAAAATGGCGCTTACCTTACTGTGTGAAAAATTAACATCTGCCACATTAACTTAAAGTGTCAAAATGGCGCATCCTTACTGTGTGAAACATTAAAATCTGTCAGATTAACTTAAACAGTGTCAAAACGGCCATTAATGTGTATGAACTTGTCATCTGTTCATCAACCTAACCCAGTGACCCACATTATTTAGTCAGTTAAAAATACTATAGCTGCATAACTATTTGACTTAAACTCATAATATTTCCATGTGGGCAAACCATTCAATCTGCTGTCTTTGTATGTAATTTAGAATTGGTTCTGTGCTATCTGATAACGAATTACCTCATTCCTGATTTGATCTTATCTGGTCACTCCTACGGTCATTCTCAGACACCTCATTTCCATGGTTAAATGTTCTTCTTTGTTTTGTTGTGAGTGACCACGTCTGGCACTGACAGCATAGGGTGGGAATGAATATGCTTTGTATGAGATGTCTCTTCTTGTTGATTGGAATTACCTTATGCTGTAAGAGGGGGGCTAGCTGTCCCAGTACTTGGCCTGCTTTACTGCATCGGATGTCAGTTTCTTCATCCAGTTTACCATAATGTACGATCATGGTAGTCAGTAGGTTGAACAGCGCAAAAACAGGTCTTAAAGTGTAAAACACTGACATCTGTCACAGACATACTAACTTAACTCTTTTGATACCAAGGAACACACCATATTTTGATTCATAACTAACTAACCCCCCCCCCCCCCCCCCCCCCCCCCGGCATGGAAGGGGTTAAACAGTATCAGGCAATTGCAGTTCCAGATTCATGGCAGATGGGTCATCCTATCCTGTGCCAATGAAAACCACACAGAATATCCAACACTGTCTCTTGTGATAAAAACTGGCAAATAAATGCATAAGGCAGCAATCAGAAGTGAAAGCCCAAACAGTCCGACAGCAGAAATGCAGTTTATTATCAATGGAAGCAGCAGCTGCAACAGATCAGTAGTTGCACAGGCAGTTAATCACATAAGGCACCATAAGTGGTAACAGGTTATTTTCTGGAAATCTGCAGGTCATAACACAAAACACACTGGGCACAGTTCTAAAACATTCCAAATGAAATCCTCAGCTAACGATATCAAGTAACGCACTCAACTCAGCAGAAGCAAATACAACGACCAACTATTGTTAGAGGCAAAAACTTGCCACGATTAAAAAAACAGCAAATCTGCCTATCCACCATACTGACTGAAAGACTAAACAGTGCTAACAATTGCCCTTACAGAAAACGAATCTGATTTGTGTCACATAACTTAAACATAACTTAACCAGTGTCAAAGAAATCGAAACCAAATTGAAACATTGTCACAAACTCACAGCTGTTGGTAAAGGGCAGGAAAACTCTTTTCGGACTCCAATCTCCTCAGGTCTGACCTGGCTTAATTTGTGACACTTGGCTAGAAGGAGATGGTCCTCCTTTGAGAACCGCTGCCGAATCACCACAAACACTTTCCGATAGACTGCATTCATCACGTAGCTGTGAAGGTACATATGTCAAACATTTAATTTATTATGTAATTTAAAGGTTAAAGTTAAATGCATCCTTTAAGGACGTTGCAGAACCAGCATTTTATTATTATTTTCGCTGTTTGTGATTTCACTGAGCAATTTTACATTCAGTAGTTTGCTGCTGCTTACTGAAAGGTCAGCTCTCAGTACCACTGTTGAAACCCGCTGAAAGGTGATCCGCTGCTAAATTGCCTGCAGCTGGGATCAAACCCAGCTCAATGAAATTACAATGCACATTTGCAACACCGAAAACACCGACACTGACATGTACACATGAGATAATGAGTCACTCATCATAAGACTGTCAAGGGTATTTGTCAAGCTTTTCTTCTTATAGCCCATGCCGTGTGGCGTTGGTAGTAATGTCTATCCACAACCTTCTGTCTCCTGTCTTTTTCTAGTGTCCATGCTTTGTGGCGTTGCTAGTAATGTTTATCCACAACCTTCTGCCTCCTGTCTTTTTCTAGTGTCCATGCCGTGTGGCGTTGGTAGTTATGTCTATCCACAACCTTCTGCCTCCTGATAGCTCATGCTGTGTGGCGTTGGTAGTTATGTCTATCCACAACCTTCTGTCTCCTGTCTTTTTCTAGTGTCCATGCTTTGTGGCGTTGCTAGTAATGTTTATCCACAACCTTCTGCCTCCTGTCTTTTTCTAGTGTCCATGCCGTGTGGCGTTGGTAGTTATGACTATCCACAACCTTCTGTCTCCTGATAGCTCATGCTGTGTGGCGTTGGTAGTTATGTCTATCCACAACCTTCTGTCTCCTGATAGCTCATGCTGTGTGGTGTTGGTAGTCATCCACAACCTTCTGTCTCCTGATAGCTCATGCTGTGTGGTGTTGGTAGTCATCCACAACCTTCTGTCTCCTGATAGCTCATGCTGTGTGGTGTTGGTAGTCATCCACAACCTTCTGTCTCCTGATAGCTCATGCTGTGTGGTGTTGGTAGTCATCCACAACCTTCTGTCTCCTGATAGCTCATGCTGTGTGGTGTTGGTAGTCATCCACAACCTTCTGTCTCCTGATAGCTCATGCTGTGTGGTGTTGGTAGTCATCCACAACCTTCTGTCTCCTGATAGCTCATGCTGTGTGGTGTTGGTAGTCATCCACAACCTTCTGTCTCCTGTCTTTTTGTTCTTATATCCCATGCCGTGTGGCATTGGTAGTCATGTCTATCAAAAACCTTTTATCTCCTGTTTTGTTCTTATAGGCCATGCCGTGTGGCATTGGTAGTCATGTCTATCAAAAACCTTTTATCTCCTGTTTTGTTCTTATAGGCCATGCCGTGTGGCATTGGTAGTCATGTCTATCAAAAACCTTTTATCTCCTGTTTTGTTCTTATAGGCCATGCCGTGTGGCATTGGTAGTTATGTTTATCCACAACCTCCTGTGTCATATCTTCTTACAGTTCATGCCGTATGACGTTGGTAGTCATGTCTATCCACAACCTCCTGTGTCATATCTTCTTACAGTTCATGCCGTATGACGTTGGTAGTCATGACTGTCCACAACCTTCTGTCTCGTGTATTTTCAATCAATTCTGACACAGAGGATCTTCCATGACACGATGCCAAACTGTCCAGAATCTTCTCTCTCGGCCTCCTGTTACCACTTTCCCCTCCAACCTCCCTTCATCACAATGCACTCCAGTTTTCTCCTTGTGACCAAAGAATGGAGATGTGTTTTTATATGAGACTAGACTCACATTATCATGGATGATGTGGCCAACATCATGCCGACCGCCTTTACTCCCCCTGAATACTTACCTGCTCCCATGTTAGACGCTAACCTGACAGCCAAAGTCAAGAGGTTAAGAGATCTTAACAGCAGGAAAACCACATGACATCAACATGCTTGAAGAGAAGGCTTTAGAGTTGTCATCCAAAGAACCTAGCCTCTGGAGACGACTCGGCCTAAATATTAGCCCAACGCAAAGTAGCCAGAAGGATGGCTGGGCTGATCGGTCGGCACTGTGTAATAAAAGCCTTGATATTGGCTGGCAGGTTTTCGCACCAGATAATCATACTGCTTCTCGCATTTCTTGCACATGTGGGCTGTTCACTGACGGCTTTCGAGAAAGTTTGATGTGTTCTGTAATTTTACATCGATTTTTTTCTGGGGTTACCAGTGCCCAAAAAATGGCGAAAAAGACGTTTCATCATAGCAGCTGAAACATGGCTGAAGGCAGGAAAATGAGTAGAACCATGTGCCAGAAGCGTCTGAAGGGCCTCCAAGGGCCTTACTTCCCAAAATACATGTGTTAGGACTTATTCAACTTCATCCATAAACAATTTCACCCACATTTTTCAGGTTACTTATGTTTGTTTCCAAGTTGTTGTTGTTTTTTAATTGCTTGCATAAATTATGCAAATGAGAATAGTTAAATTGAATAAATGTTGAGATTTCAATTTGATTCATCAATATTCTGTAAGTTCATTCACTTTCCTACACACATATATATAGTTTTGTGTATGTTAATTAAACACTTAATTTTTTTAAAAACTTTGTGTATAAACTATGAGAATCCCCTCCTGAAGGCTCTGTCTTCTTGGCACCGAAACTCAAAAAAGGCTCCATCTTCAAAGGGTTAATGCAAATCAGCCAACCCCACCTTCCCTGGAAATGAAAAGCTGGTGGAGTTGTTAAACCAGTGGCTCTCCACCTTCCTAATGCCGCAACCCTTTAATACAGTTCCTCATGCTGTGGCGACCCTCCAGCTATACAATTATTTTCCCTACTACTTCATAACTTCAATGAATATATGCTTTCCGATGGTCTTAGGCGACCCCTGTAAAGTTTGACCCCACAAAAGGCTCGCGACCCGCAGGTTGAAAACTGCTGTGTTAAGGGCTTATTCAGGAGATTCAGGTTTGAAGTCTGAATCCTCTATAACTTGGTGAAAATCTTTCTCTCTAGAAAAAACATGTAACCTGCTTAGTTTGAGAAGACTGCAATGGCCATGTGACTCTAAATCCTAAGGCTCATAAAATTTATCCATTTTTCATTAACATTTTCGTTTGATATTCATAGAACGAATTTCACAACAGAAGAGCTACTTGAGCTTCAGAAACAACAGAAAGCTGAACCAATCAGAGAAATTTCATTAGATGAGGGGGGGGGGGGGGGGGAATGATGGCCAGTACCAAGTGCTGAAATTAGGGTATGGTTGTCCACTTGGGCAAAAATAGAGGATTTTATCCAGAAATGGCACCCAGACATCACAATAGTTAATCCGTGTATCAATTCATTAAATGACGAGTCTGAACACTTTTGAAAAACTAAAGAAGAAAAAACGGAACCCAAATAAAACAAAAAACATTGGGTAATTTCCTTTTTTTTTAAGCGCTGGGAATCATCTATAAATGCTAATGAACCATCAGGACATCAATCATCAGGACATCAATCATCAGGACACCAAACATCAGGACACCAATCATCAGGACATCAATCATCAGGACACCAATCATCAGGACATCAATCATCAGGACACCAATCATCAGGACATCAATCATCAGGACACCAATCATCAGGAAACCAATCATCAGGAAACCAATCATCAGGACATCAATCATCAGGACACCAATCATCAGGATATCAATCATCAGGACATCAATCATCAGGACCCCAATCATCAGGACATCAATCATCAGGACATCAATCATCAGGACACCAATCATCAGGACATGAATCATCAGGACATCAATCATCAGGAAACCAATCATCAGGACATCAATCATCAGGACATCAATCATCAGGACACCAATCATCAGGACATCAATCATCCGAAGTGACTTTACTTGATGTCTTAATGGAATGTGACTTCCCTTCCCAAAAAAACTAGCCATTTCTTTTACTTTTTAAAATAATTGTTTTTTTCAATAAGGTAAAGTTTTTTTAAATTTTATTTATGTAGACCTACAGTAAATTTATATCTTCAGGATGAGTAAATCTCTCATAATGATAAAGCAATAATACGTACAGTGGTTAATATAAAATAATGTATTTGCAATGATTTCTGAGATCAATTTCAAGTGAACATATTTTGTTGTTAAAGAATAAATAGGCTAAATTCATGGCTAGGAACAGATTAAATCATTTTTAAGTAACTCCTGTGGGACAAATTTGTGTGATATTCATCTTTTTTAATATTTATCCTTCCCTCAGGAACAGATTAGGGATGAATATTGGAGTCCCACTTTACATTGCTACATTTGGGAGATCACCTAAACTCTCAAACACTACAGTTGGGAGATCACCTAAACTCTCAAACACTACACCTGGGAGATCACCTAAACTCTCAAACAGCTGGGTGTAGGTGCAATCTCTGTAAGCTGAAGATCAACCCACAACTGATGAAGCTTATGGTAGCTATATGTGCTAAATGTTAATGGGAAATTTGTCACAAATACTTATGAATGACAACAAGCACACACACACACACGCATGCACACATGCATGCACGCACACATACACAAAAACACATGAGAAATGAACAAACACACAAACTGAATATTAATTAGCAGAAAAGTGCAGTTTCAGAAAAAGGGACAGAGGCTGACCTCTGTATACGCAAATACAGGACACCAAAGATGCACTGGCTATGAAAGCACACTGGGCTGGACGATTGGCTAGAGAAAGATACGAGACATTCAGGCGTGCAGTGAGGAGAGCGACTTTTTGTAAAAGATATGCTGATTGATTAAGTTAGTTGTGTATCCTCTACAGCATGTTGCTAAACCAAGCCAAGCATTTGTTGGCTGTTGCAGTTTAACTAGACAGTTTTTACCTTCAGTAGTCTGCCTTGCTTGGTGAATGATCGCTTCTCGATATCCCTCGAAATCAACAAGATCTTCTTTAGCCTTTCTATCCCCTAATGGAGCATAGGCCCTCAACCAACTCACGCCAAATCATTCTATCCTTCGCCATTACATGAAGCTCTCCCCATGTCCTTCCCATCTTTCTAACTTCATTCTCCAGCTCTCTTCTCCATGTGTTTTTTGGCCTTCCTTTATGCCTATGCCCCTGTGGGTTCCAATGAAAAGACATTCTAGTTATGCTGTTCTCCTGTTTTCTCAGTGTGTGTCCTATCCAACGCCAGCGTATTTTCCTCACCTCTTGGTCGACTGGAGCCTGTTTAGTTCTCTCCCAAAGTTCTACATCAGTTATTCTATCATACTATTTAATTCCCTCTATTCTGCGCAGGCACCAGTTAATGAATGTCTGTAATTTATTAGAATTTGCCTTAGTTATTCTCCATGTTTTGGAGAAATTTGAACTAGATACCTCAGAATTAGGAAATGCATTCACAACACCTTAGCCATATCATATAAAGCGAACTAAAATAATGAGAAATGAGTCATACATAATTGTAGGTATGGCAAACCAAAGGGACATGAAAAAGGTTTCACGTATAATTAAGGTTAATTTTTAACAACAGCAGAATAGGAATGGTTGAGACAGTTGATTACCTCTCTATGGTGCCAGCTAAAACTTCTCTCAGCTTGAGGTCATTGTTGGCAGGTGGCTTTATCTTTTTCTGCATGTCCTGGTACAGACAGACAAACACATGAATGATCATACAGTTCACAAGAGTACACAGTTAACAAATAACACAGAAATTTCATCATCATCATCTAGCAGGTCCTTTGAAAAACATCTCATCATGGTTGCCTAAATCCTGTGCCTGAGTCACTTACATCCTGTGCCTGAGTCACTTACATCCTGTGGGGGCTGCCTTCGGTCGCAGAGCAGTCCCGGTTCCAGCGTTCGCTGTCCCTTCAGGCTGCGTGTGGTGCATCCCGTTAGCGGGCACCTCCCAGCCGGCTTCGGATGTAGAGGGGGACAAGGTGCCGATATTCTGTGTGTGTGCCGCAGTTCGCTGCCACGGTCGCGGTGTGAGCGAACGAAAGTGTCCGTTACGGTGGTTCCGACGAAGGTCTCGCTAAAGGCCTGCTCTCTCTCGACGAGTTGCGGGCCAGCATTCGGTAAGCTGGCATAGCTTTTTTCGGTCAGTCCTGCCGGCGCGGCTCGTCGGCAGGCGTCCAGTGGTGTCGCATGCATCACCGGGTTTTGCGGGGAGAACGATGTTCTCCCCGGCCCACGTGTGCTCGTGAAAACGTCCAATTCTGTCCGAAAGATATCTGGTTGATCCTGCCAGTAGTCATATGCTTGTCTCAAAGATTAAGCCATGCATGTCTAAGTTCACACTGTTCCACGGTGAAACCGCGAATGGCTCATTAAATCAGTCGAGGTTCCTTAGATGACACGATCCTACTTGGATAACTGTAGCAATTCTAGAGCTAATACATGCTTACCAAGCTCCGACCCTCGCGGAAAGAGCGCTTTTGAGAGAACATTGTTCACTGCACATCCTCTGTTAACCCTCAGTGTCGTCGTCACCGCGCTGAGGTACACCACAACAGCAACCATCCATAGGCTGGCCATCCTTGTACATCCTCAGTTAACCCTCAGTGTCATCGTCACCACGCTGAGGTACACCACAACAGCAACCATCCATAGGCTGGCCATTCATGTACATCCTCGGTTAACCCTCAGTGTCGTCGTCACCGCGCTGAGGTACACCACAACAGCAACCATCCATCGGATGGCTAAGCCTAAATGTCCGACAAAACTAGATCATACGGATCAAAGTCTGACCATCAAAATTTGTATTGAACTGAAAAAGACCGAATGTCCACACCCAAAGACCCCACTCGCCCGAGTGTTGGGACAAAACTGATAACGATATGCCTGATGCAGGATGTAAAATTCTGTCGGGCTAACGGCTCGTCAAAGAAATCTAACGTGCGAAGAAAAAAGAATGTACCTATCTGTGTGGTCACAAAAGTCCAAAACCCACGGGCTGCTCCCCGCTGACTTCCAGAGGGCGCAGCCCCTGTCGAGCTTGAGGCCTGATACGGTTGTGAGGTTAAGCAGGCATGTGCAGGACGTGACGATTCCTTGGGTGAGCCCAGAACCAGAGCGCCATGTGCCGGCTCTGCATGCATGGAAGCCTCCTTGGATGGCGGGAAATGCCCATGATCTGCCCCTGCCTTCCCTTGAGGGCTAACTGTTCCACAGGGGGCTGCCCCAAAGGGGTACTCCGGGGGCAATACCTGCGGCGAAGGAGACAAAGTGGATACCACACAAATCAGGCAACGTCTCGACCCACACAAAACAATGGCCACAGTCACCCTAGAAATAGGCCTGACGTCTTCCTTCGAAGTCGGAGTACAGCTGCCCATGAGGCAGGGAAATGAAAAACGGTTGTACACGCAAAAATCAGGTCCAGGTGAAAGCCAAAAGTCCAAGCGGACGATTAACCGGGACCTTCCACTGGAATTCACAGCCGGTGATCGATTTAAAAAAAAAAAAAAAAAAACTTACATCCTGTGCCTGAGTCACTTACATCCTGTGCCTGAGTCACTTACATCCTGTGCCTGAGTCACTTACATCCTGTACCTGTGTCACTTACACCCTGTGCCTGGGTTACTTATATCATGTGGCTGAGTCACTTACATCCTGTGCCTGAGTCACTTACATCCTGTGCCTGGGTCACTTACACCCGGTGCTTGGGTCACTTAATCCTGTGCTTGGGTCACTTACATCCTGTGCCTGAGTCACTTACATCCTGTGCCTGAGTCACTTACATCTTGTGCTGGAGTCACTTGCATCCTGTGCTGGAGTCACTTACATCCTGTGCCTGAGTCACTTACATCCTGTGCTGGAGTCACTTACACCCTGTGCCTGAGTCACTTACATCCCATGCCGGAGTCACTTACATCCTGTGCCTATCTTCATACTAGTTGGCCAGTTTCTCTTTTCTGGTAACATGCCTTCAATTACTCTGCTTCACTGTGTGCTGTGGCATCTGATATAGGAAAACATGTCCAGTTTCCAAGACAAGATGTTGTTTACCAGCCAATCTTCCTTGATGCTGAGATCTTTTAGGATGCCAGTGTTTCTCATCTTCTTGGTCATTGGTATTCTTTCTATAGCATTTCAGCTCAATGGCCACCATATCCTTCCTTAATGACTGCGAGACAGTCAACGACTCACATCTGTATGTTGCAGATAAAGTAACAAGTAAAGGACCCTTTTCCACGCCTTTAGGCATATAGGGCATAAAGAGCTAGGCATATATTTTATAGACCAATCGGCACAAGATGTGTATGTTGCTATGAAAAATAAAAAAGGTATAAGGCTGTAAATTTTTAATTTGTTGTTGTTGTGTAAATGATATCACGGGCCCCTTAAATTTGTGCCATGAACTCCCGGGGTCTGCAAACCAACAACTTAGAACCACTAACAGAAAGCAGAAAAGAAACTAAGAAAAATCTGCTATGACTAGGAAGCTTGAAGAAAATACAAGAAGAAGACAAAGAGGCAAATATATGAATAACTTATATTGTTGAGGCAGACAATGTTGAAACTGTCAGACCTGGTTTTCACTGTAAAAAAAAAAAAGAGAATGCTGAATTATGAATCGACATCACAGTACTCGGGACACCCCCCATAAGCGCTCCATCCCCATTTTCAGCAGCAAAAATGTCTCATGTTAAAAAAGAGAAAGACACATGCCAGAAGTCGGAGATCTCTCACCTTGAGTGTGTCTATGCTGAGTGCCCTCAGCCGCGACACTGCATCATTGAGGTAGTCTGCCAGAACCATGTAGTGACTACAGAAATACTCAATATTCCGGTCCAAGTTTTCCAGACTCTGAGACAAATATCAGCAAGTGTTATCACCAAAGAAGCAACAATGACTGCAATCATTTACAAGTACGTACTTCTCATATACGTCTATGTTTGATGCTCGCCTGCAGATCTGAAGGTCGTGGGTTCAAATTTTTATAGCACTAGATTTTTTCAAACATGACCTTGGCTCCCAGGCTGACCCAGCCTTAAACAGGCTTCTGGTAAAAAGTCCTGGGAAGTAAAGGTGGCCAGCATGATGCTGATCACATCACCCATCAAAGGTGGAGTGGCCTGTAAGTATATGAGTCTAGCCTTATGTGCACGAAGCACCACTGGCCGCCGGCAAAGGGATCTATACTTTACTTTTACCTTTCAGAATCCTCACTTTACACAATGAAGTACGTATTTGCACTCTGTGATATTTCTATACGGCAGGCACAACAATTACGTAAATGATCCTTGCCAAGCCAATGCTGCCACAGATATATGATGCTATACTCATGTTTGATATAGACTAATTAATATATCTTCAACTGTTCTACTCTTCTTCTTCTCTAGTCATGTGTTGCTGCTGGTATTTATGTTGTTGGATATTCCATGTATCTATGGTCTACCTCTGGCTCTGCTTCAGTTATGTCTTAAGAGAGAGGGCTCTCTGTGGTAAACTGACTAGTGAACACGTGTCCAAACCATTTTATCTGTTTTCTCTTGGGGTATTTTAATATCGATTCCGTCCCAACTTCTTTCCTGATATCACAGTTTCTGATTCTGTCTCTTCTAATTACATTTAGGATTCATCACAGTCATTTCATTTCTGCTGTTATGATTTTGCTTTTGTCTTTTCTTCTTAATCTGTCACTGATAGCAACAATCATGGTTTTAAAGAAAAAATACTGAACTAAGTAGTGCTCTTTTGATGTGAATTCTTAGATGATTGTTCTACAAAATTATTGTACGTATTTCAGTTATTCTATATATTTAATAAACTGAACTGTCTTTTCTGTAACATATTCACATATATCCTCAATTATTGTATGTATTTCATAAAACTGAACTGTATGTTATGAAACATATTAACACACATCCTAAATTGCTGTATGTATTTCATAAACTGAACTGTCTTTTCTGCAACATATTCAAACATATCCTAAACTGTTGTATGTATTTCATAAACTAAACTGTATGTTATGAAACATATTAACACATATCCTAAACTGTTGTATGTATTTCATAAACTAAACTGTATGTTATGAAACATATCCACACATATCCTAAACTGTTGTATGTATTTCATAAACTAAACTGTATGTTATGAAACATATTCACACATATCTTCAACTCTTTGAGTCCCAGGGGGTTTAGCATCACAAGCCCAAGGGGTAGTCAAGAGAGACATAAAATCGGCACATCAAACGTTCATTGGGCCTCTAGGTAGGAATCTATGAACGTATGATGCATTCCTTGGGACTCAAAGAGTTAAGTGTTCTGTGTATTTCATGAACTGAAAAGTAGGTTATGTAATATAACAGTTTTACCCATTTGGCGGTCCACGGACCTCCGAACAAATTTAAGGCTGTGGTATCATTTACACCAGCGGTTCTCAACCTATAGGTCATGACCCTTTTTTGGGGTCAAACGACCCTTTCACAAGGGTTGCCAAAGACCATCGCAAAACATACATTCATTGGAGTCCCCCGTGTGGGTTCCGGGGCCCCATTGTGGGGAAAACAAGAATAGACCCACTGCCTCCCCAAAAGCATGTCGTAAGAGTCGACTAATTGGGAAGCTTCCTTTGAAGTCGGAGTGCATCTGCCGGAGAGGCAAGGAACCAACAGTCTGTATTCAAGAGAATGAGATCTGTAAAACTGATGCACACGCAACACTCAGGTTCTGGAGCAGGACTGCAGTTCAGGAGTGGACGAGCAACCAGAACCTTCCGCCAGAGTTTACAGCTGGTGAACGTGAAGAAGAAGAAGAACATTCATTGGAGTTATAAAGCAGCGATGAAAAAAAATCTGTATGGCTGGGGGTTGCCACAACACGAGGAACTGTATTCAAGTATCCTTATCTATCTATGGATGGCTTGAGCATTCATAATTTATCACGACACTGGGTTATAACCTGATATCAGTAAGATGACAAAAGAAGAAGAGCAATCATCATCATCATCTTCTCTTTCTTCAGCATTCCGAGCCCTTGAGGTTCATTGGTGTAAATACCACCTGCCTCCGCTCATCTCTCTGGTAGGCCTTCTCTTTCCAGCTGGTAACACCAAGTGTTTGCAGGTCTCTCTGGACATTATCTCTCCATCATCTTCTTGGTCTGCCTCGTGGTCTACGACCATTCATCTCCCTTGGGTATACAGTTTTTACCTCTCCACCATCTGACATTCTCTCAATATGCCCCAAGCATTTTAACCTATTAGCTCTCATGATGCCAATGATCAATGGTGGTTCCTCTTACCCCTTTGAATTCAGGAAATGACTGCAAGAATTCAGTACATCTGAAAGAGATAAAAACAAGATTGAAGCAAACAGAAAAATGGGGTGAGGCAGAAGTGAGCTGGGTCTTTGTTACACAGATTCTGCTTCTGTCAACAGATGATTTTGTTAAAGATCAATCATTCAATAGATAATACTGTCATAGATCAGTCTGTGAATTTACATTATTGTCAGGTGTCAGTCTATCAACAGATAAAAATTGTCAGGGATCAGTTTCTCAACAGATAATACAGTCAGGGATCAGTCTCTCAACAGATAAAATTGTCAATGATCAGTCTCTCAACAGATAAAACTGTCAAGGATCAGTCTCTCAACAGATAAAATTGTTAGGGATCAGTCTCTCAACAGATAATACAGTCAGGGATCAGTCTCTCAACAGATAAAACTGTCAAGGATCAGTCTCTCAACAGATAAAACTGTCAAGGATCAGTCTCTCAACAGATAAAATTGTCACGGATCAGTCTCTCAACAGATAAAACTGTCATGGATCAGTCTCTCTTTCAACATATACTACCATCAGGGAACAGTCTCTCAACATATACTACCATCAGGGAACAGTCTATCAACATATACTACCACCAGGGAATATTCTCTCAACATGTACTACCATCAGGAAACACTCTCAACATATACTACCATCAGGGAACAGTCTCTCAACATATACTACCATCAGGAAACAGTCTCAACATATACTACCATCAGGGAACAGTCTCTCAACATATACTACCATCAGGGAACAGTCTCTCAACATATACTACCATCAGGGAACAGTCTCTCAACATATACTACCATCAGGGAACAGTCTCTCAACATATACTGCCATCAGGGAACAGTCTCTCAACATATACTACTATCAGGGAAGTCTCTCAACATATACTACCATCAGGGAACAGTTCCCCAACAGATAATACAGTCAGGGAACAGACTCTCAACATATACTACCATCAGGGAACAGTCTCTCAACATATACTACCATCAGGGAACAGTCTCTCAGCATATACTACAATGAGGGAACAGTCTTTCAACAGATAAGGATGATACATACTCCCTGACTGATATTTTGTGTGTATGAAGCTTCTTTTCTATCTGCTCTTTCAACAGAGGTCCCTTCAACTGAAACAGACAAAATCATTGCCAAATGTAACGATATCCCTTTCTACTGGGTAACTCCTGGCCATAGTTTAAAGGTAAACTCATAGGTCAGATGACAGATATCTCTCTCTTGAACACGTCTCCAAATCATTACACCAGATTATAATCACATGTATGGTAGTCTGGTAGTCTTAGTTTCAGCTTCATAGCAAATGGGTCACCCCATCTTTGCTCCGCTCCTGTGCCAATGAGAAACACACAGAATGTCTATCACAGTCCCTTGTGGAAAGATTGACAGACTGCTGTCTCAGCATATCTAGCATACACACGCATTAAAGCATACGGTAGCCATCCAAAGTGCTAGCACAAACAGTCCAACATTAGAAATGCAGTTCATCATTGATGGTAGTGTCACATATCACTCCTGTCGCGTGCCTAATGTAAGGATTTCTCCTTCAGAACCAACAGCACTCAGAAATAATTATGTTGAGTCGTTTGGCTCGTATTGGTCTAAGGGATTCCCCGTGGCCAATATACGCTCAACTTATTTCTGGAGTAGGGCAACTCAAGTATTGGCACTACAAAATATCTCAGTATATGAATACAATATTCCTAGGCACACTTGGCTGGACACCCCCACTACTTACTAAAGAAAGCCCCCAGGTTATGATAGTTCATTATCATAACCATGTTAACACATATAATGAAGATACATACACACACAACTGCTAAACACTTAAAAAGGTGAAATAGAGACACCTAAGTCAGCCATGAAAATGAATGCATGTAATCAATATGACATATACATATAATAGTGAAACAGATGCCAGATCTCCGTGGATAGATCTCAGGATATATTGTCCAAATCACATAAGGCATCAAACTTAGCTTCTCCTCTTTCCGTCTATGATGCTTCCCTCAGCTCCTGATGATTCGACTGTCTTTGACTGGTAATTCTGCTCAAATGGATCAGGTAGTGAAAGAGTACCTCACCATAGAGGACACAGCAACTGTACCGGTACTCAGCAAGTCTCTCCCACCAGTCAGGTCACAATACTGTCTTTGAGATACACCAAGCTCTAGCACTGGTAGGCTGTTTGGGATATATGCCCCCACATAGTGATGATGTCAGGAACCTTCACAGGTGTTAGCTGGTGGGTAGTTGGTTGATAGTTGGTTTATGGTTGGTGGGTAGTTGGTTGATAGTTGGTTTATGGTTGGTGGGTGTTGGTTGGACTGTGAAACTTCTGCCAGCTCCTCACAAAGGATTCATCCCAAGCATATGAAAAGTCCGAGACATTCCAGATCGCCTTGTTCAAATGAATTATACAGGCATCGATTGACACGTCTGGACACTTGGAAGCCGGCAAGAGAGAATGCCGCCAATTACGCACTTCAGGCGTTGGTAAAAAAAGGAGTTCCTAGTATACATGGGCAAGGAGTAAATCGGTTTCTAAGAAACCTCAAATAACTCCTCTAATATATATCCAATAGATGTACATTTAAAAGTGGAGTTTAGTCAAAGCAACTAGAAAATGTAGACATAATAATGTTGTCCAATAAAGGCATATATATATAGATATAAGGGACTATATCTTTCCGGACGAGTCCAAGTTTGAATTTTGTGCCGATTACAGGTAGGTCAAGTTACCAGTCTTACGGACTGATGCGTAATGGCTTATCATTCCACGACAGGTAGCAGAAGTCACCAACAGATCAGCAGTTGCCCGCGCAATCAATTTTAATCACATACGGGTACCGCCAACATTGTGACGACGGGCATCGCGCCATTTTCTGAATCTACACTTCACACCACCATGTTGGTCACAGTCGAAAAAATATTCCAAATGAAATCAGCAGCTCACAGTGTCACGTCATGCATTCAACTCAGAGGCTGCGTGACGAAACTATATCCAGTCTACACATGGAGCAAAAATGCATCGTCACCCTCCAGCAGAAGCAAAAAATTTGCCTCAGCTCCAAACAGTTTCCCTGCCTAGCGTCCATTTTGACCGAAAGTTCCGTAAATCACATGTACGAACAGCTGTGTGAATGAGTTGGCGACTGCACTGACAATGAAATATTTTAAGTGAGATATAAAATATACAAGGTCTCTAAACTTACGACTAAGTTGTTCTCACTAGCAGGTCAAAAATCGAACAGGCCGAAGGCCAAATTTACATTTCTCAACACTATTTTCATTAAAATGGGTTATTAAAAAGAGTCTTCCGCTGCACTCTAGGCTTCAGTTTCAGGTGTTTTCATTTATTTATTGTGGTCTGAAGTGTGCATGGTCATCCGTGCGGATGGTTGTAAGTCACAGAAAGGTGTACTCACTCAAAGGGAGCCATGGTGACATAGTGGCTAGATGAATACCTGTCTGCCTGAATGTCTGGGGTTAAAATCTGTGTCAGTGTAAAGTATTTTTTTTTTTTCAAAATTGACCTTGGCTTCCAGATCGACCCAGCCTAAATGGGTACCAGGTGATGTCCTGGGAAGTAAACACAGCTGGCGTGGTACTGACCTAATCACCCATTGAGTACCAACTGGTCTATTAAAATAAACATCTAGTATTATATACTTGATGCGCCCTAAGGCAGGGCCATTCAACTCAGTTTTCTCAGCAGACAACAAGTTGGAAAATGGGGACTGTTACTGGCAAGAGGCCTGAACCCCATACATAAACATTAATAAAACAGTAACACTAACAGGTGATCCACAGGCCACTTGCTAAGCCTCTGTGGGCCAGATTTGGCCAGCGGGCCACTGGTTGAATAGCCCCACCCCAAAGCTCACCTGCTGATCTGAAGGTCGTGGGTGCAAGTGAGCATGGCATTTTTTCTTCAATCGTGATATCATGGCTCCCATGCCTTAAAAGCATACCAGGTAAAGTCCTGGGAAGTAGAGGCAGCTAGCATGATGCTGACCATGTCCCCCATCAAAGGTTGATTGGTCATGTATGAAAATGAGAGTTTAGCCTCATATGGCCAAGGCGCCACTGGTGTGTAAAGGGACCTTTACTTCTGTTCATGCAATTGGAGATCCAACACACAATCTCTTCCTTCACCTAACACTGATTTAATACACAACAATCTTTTCCCACATCTAACACACAACTATCTCTTCCTTTAACTAACACACAACAATCTCTTCCCTGATTTAATACACAACAATCTTTTCCCTCATCTAACACACAACTATCTCTTCCTTCAACTAACACACAACAATCTCTTCCCTGATTTAATACACAACAATCTTTTCCCTCATCTAACACACAACAACCAATTCCCACATCTAACACACATTTATCTCTTCCCTGAATTAACACACAACAATCTCTTCCCTGATTTAATACACAACAATCTCTTCCCTCATTGAAAACACAATAATCATACTTCAATGCAATAGCAGAGCAAAGTTTATCAACCACTATGGCATCACTGATATGATATGTTGACATCAGCGCAATGCAATCAGACATCAGTGTAATGTCAGTCAATTTGTCCAATCACCGAAACAGAAAAGACTCACCTTGAACTTAGAGTGGAAAGGCTGTTCCAGTATAAGAATCTTGTACTGCTGGTAATCCTGTTGAGTATGAATCAGTAACAGCACATATGTGTGAATAAATTATTATAATTCACATATGTATATGTCTAACTTGGGAAGAAACACCACAGTATGTGGTAAAACAAAAACAGAAACAATTACAGACAATAGCGGCAGCAGTGACAACAACAACAAAATAATCTCATGGTATGCAAACAAAAAAAGCATATGGTAAAAACAAATGTCAAACCACACACCTTTCTTGAACTACCAGTCATGAGATGTACGGTGTCACTAGAGTAGAAAGGATTCATTTTTATGCTTCATTATATGTTGATATAACTCTGTGTTAATGCACGTGGTAAGATACAGCGAAATATGCCAGGCAATAATTTGTGCAATGTATTATTGGTGTCCATATTATCTAAATATATCACGTAAATATATACCTATTTCTCAAAGATTCACTGACCTTAAATCAGTATAAAAAAAAGTAAAGGTCCCTTTCCCATGCCTTTAGGTGTTTAGGGCATATAGGGCTAGACCTATATTTGTATAGACCAATGGGCACAAGATGGGTGATATGGTCAGCATCACGCCGGCCGCCTTTTCTTTCAAGGACTGCACTTGGTAACAACTCAAGGCTGGGTCAACCTGGGAGTCAGGGTCATTTTTTAAAAAGTCCATGTACGCCAGGAAACGAACCCACGACCTTCCGATCCACAGGCAGGCGTCTAGCAACCAACGCTACTCCCACACAGATAAATAACAGTTACCTTGTTGTAGGCCAGTTCTTCTGAGAGAATTTTAACTGTCACCTCTTCGTCAAATCCTGCAGATCAGTAAACACATGTCTGTGAGTGTCAGTAAACACATGTCTGTGAGTGTCAGTAAACACATACCTGTGGTTGTCAGTAAAAACATACCTGTGCGTGTCAGTAAACACATACCTGTGAGTGTCAGTAAACACATGTCTGTGAGTGTCAGTAAACACATGTCTGTGAGTGTCAGTAAACACATACCTGTGGTTGTCAGTAAAAACATACCTGTGCGTGTCAGTAAACACATACCTGTGAGTGTCAGTAAACACATGTCTGTGAGAGTCAGTAAACACATACCTGTGAGTGTCAGTAAACACATGTCTGTGAGTGTCAGTGTAAACATATGTATGTGAGTGTTAGTGTAAACATATGTATGCGAGTGTCAGTAAACACATGTCTGTGAGAGTTGGTAAACACACATCTGTTGAGTGTGTAATACCACTAGAATTTGTGTGGAAATCAGTAAACACATGTCTGTGAGTGTAATACCACTAGAATTTGTGTGGAAATCAGTAAACACATGCATGTAAGTGTGTAATACTACCAAAATTTGTGTGGAAATCAGTAAACACATGTTTGTGAATAGATGTTGTGTTAAGAAGACCAGTGGGTGATGTGGTCAACATGATGTCGGCACCTTTACTTCTCAAGACTGTACCGGCACCCATTTAAGGCTAGGTAGACCTAGAAGCCAAGGTCCTTTCTAAAAAAAAAAGTCTGGCTCCATGAGGACCTAAACCCACTATAGGGAACATCTAGCCACTATACTACAGCAGCTCCATGTCTCTGAGTGTGCAAACCATTTGATTTGATGTCTTTGTATGTTATTGTTGTTTGTGTTCACCAGCTGTAAACCCCGGTGGAAAGACCTGGTTGTTAGTCCATTTTTGGCGTTGTTCCAAGACCTTAGTTTTGCGTGTGCATCCATTTGACACATCCTGTTTATCTGTATGCTGACTGTTGGTTATTTGCATCTCAGGCAGATGGACTCTGACTTCAAATGAAGCCCCCAAGTGAGTCAACTCTTATGACATGCTTGTAAGGGAAGCAGTGGGTCTATTCTTGTTTTCCCTACAACTAGGGCCCTGGAACCCACATGGGAATCTTTGGATGAACTGCTTATGTGCTGATGTGTTTCTATGAACTCATTCCTGGCTGCAATAATTGCACCTTTCAGTCCAAAACTCCCTATTTCATCTAGTCCTTAAGTAGTAATCTCTTATAACATGCTTGTTAGGGGGCAGTGAAGACCCCCCCCCCCCCCCCCTTTCCAATTAGGTCCCAGAACTCACACAGAGACAACAGCTATTCAAAAACATAATGACTTCTGTTGACCCTCTGACAAAACAATGAGATAGTTCACACACACACACACAAACTGACCCAGTAACGTTGTGAAAGTCTGGCCATCTTCCGACATGATCACAGTCTTGACGTTGGAGGAATGTGTTGTCATGAACTGACTGAAAGACACACACAGAGTCATACGTTATTTTGTTGTGACAAGTAAACATAAACACCACCTCTGGGCTGTGAGCTACGATATGATAAAGTGGATGTTGTGAAGGCCCTATGGGATCAAATGGACAATGCAACAGAACAGAGAGGGGATCCATACCCTGAAAGACTAATTTAACAGGGGGTGAGTGGAGGTTTATGGAAAATACTGAATAGTGAAGGAGGGGACAGAGATAGACTTTTAATAATGTTGCAACGGGTACTTATAGCATGTCAACTCAGAGTCGATTACTAAAGAAAGGGACAGAGCATGTGTGAGAATGTCACAAGTGCAACGATCTCAGTTCTTGATTCATTCATTCAGTCACTCATTCATTCATTCATTCAAGTAAACATAACTAGATACAACACAAATAGAAATATTTGACTTCAACATGTGAGAGAAACCTCTGCCATGTGCTGGCTTGAGAATCAGCTGTACACACATGTTGTAGCTGTAACTGACTCACAAAACTTGTTCAGAAAGGTGCAGACAGGCACACTCCATGCAGAGTGGCAAGCATCGCTTAAGAGGTTGCAGGTAGTTAGTGTCCTTTGAAATTTGTCTCCAGGTGATGCTGGTGTATTGGTAAATGAGCAGGCAGATAGACTCTGGTTTTGCATCATTTGGTGGTGAACTGATGTATAACAAGCTGGATGTTGGCCTTTTGGGAACAAGTAAACAGTGCAGAGGCACAAACAGATCATTACAGTCTCAGGAGAATGGCGCTGTGAGGAGTTACCAGGGGATCTGGCTGATGCTCAACATTCAAGGGAAAGGCCAGATATACAATCAGACAGTTACAGGTGCTGTCGGAATTGAAACTCTTTGCTTGCTGCTGAAGATGAGGACGGGACGCATATATAAGTGTCCCAAGTGCTGTGATGTTGATTCCTAATTCAACATGTGAGAGAAATGTTAGACAATAAGTAACACACAGATGCACTGCTTAAGCAAACATCTGTTTTTTTCTTCGCATTCACCGGCTGTAAACTCTGGTGGAAAGGACTGGTTGTTCATTCATCGAGGGGCGGCTAGCCAAATGATTAGAACGCTGGGCTCTCAAGCGATAGACCCAGGTTCGAATCTTTGGTAAGGCTGGGGGATTTTATTTTTTGTCAGGGGACAAAATAAAATGCTCACCTGCACAGTCGTGGCGACAGCACTAGCCATAAATCCTGAGAACTAGACCCACTCTCCCTCCCCTCGTAATGACAGTTTTGACAGATGGAAGGTGATGACAACAAATGGCAACTTACCCTTTAAAATAGGGCGATGGCCGTAGTATGTGTGTTTCTGGAGACAAACAAAACAAAGGTCAAGGATATTTTAAGAGCAACATAACAGGAACTTACTTATTGTGAGCCACCATGGTAAAGCGGCTAGATGCTTGCCTGCAGATCAGAAGGCCATGGGTTTAAATCCGCATGCAGCCACCTTGGTTCCCAGGTTGACCCTGCCTTAAATGGGTACTAGGTAAAGTCCTGAGAAGTAAAGGCGGCCAGCGTGATGCTGACCTAGTTGTCCACCAGTGCCAATTGGTACAAACAAATGCAAACCTAGCTCTATATGCCCAACACGGCTAAAGGCATGGAAAATAATTTCACAACATACCCAATCTGGCAATTCATAGAAGCGTACACAGTCTGTTATGTATAAGAAAAAAATGAATTATCTGCTTCTTCCTCTTCTTCTTCTTTATCTCCTCCTCTAGTCCTGTTCTGCTTTCAGCGTCAGGTTTTGAAGAGATATCAGATGCAAGCCTCAGCAGGTGCTATGTAAATACTGGCCTTTACGGCCCTGGATATTACATTTGTCCATCGCTTGCAGGATAGACCTCTAGTTCTGCTTCGGTTGTGTCTACGTGATAGGGTTCTCTGTAGTGCAATATCTGGCGGTAGTTTTGGCACATGGAACATCTTATCTAGCATCTAAAGGATGAGAGCTGAGAGTCTGAGAAGAAACGGATTAAACACAAATGTTGACAACTATGGTCCTGAAATCCCATACTATCATTGTGGGAATTCTTTTCTTGACATGGGCGGGTCTTGCTAGTCACACTCCCCATCACGATGCCTTCTTATAGTGCAATACAACACTATAATCTAAACCGCGGAAAGGTGCCAATCATCAATCAAATCAATCATCAGAACTTCTTATCTGTCATCGCTTGATGTAGTTCAGTACAGGTTCCATCCCTACTTGCTGTCTGATATGGAATGCCCTCGTAACAAGAATGCCCTGGTATTATCTGCTACAACGAGCCACACTAAAACGTTACAATGGTTATAGAGCGAGTGGAAGACCTAGGAAAATATGGAGTGATGGCATTAAGAACAGCCTAACAGAAATGAACATCAGTCTTTATAATGCTCTTGACAGAGCTCATCAACGAATGTTACATCTCCCCCTGACACTTTGATGAGGTACAAGATTCATAATACACACACAGACAAACCATATTCTTCTTCTTCTTCTTTTGTTCGCATGGATAAATTATCTATATCTGCAATGCTGTCTCTAGTATGAATTTCATTGTCTTTTTTAATTCACTAAGCAGTCCGTAAAGTTTGACTTCCACAAGTGTCTCTTTTGGCCAGAAGTTTTGCCTGGAAGCATTGAATCTGGGACAGTCTTGGAGGATGTGATTTGTTGTCTCAGGTGCCAGTCCATGGGTACACATGGCTGATTGGCCAATCTTAAATTTGTTGTACATGTGGCAGTGAAGTCGATTGTGCCCTGTTCTAAGGCGAAGGATAATAACTTGCTCTGGTCTGTCCATAATATGGTAATCATCTTGTGCCAGTTGCGGTGGCATTCTGATTGATTTGATCATTCTCTTCTTCTGTTGATAAGAGACTGGTATGTCGGGTTGTTCTTCAGTTGCACCTTCCTTAGCTAGTTTATCAGCTCTTTTGTTTCCAGAAACTCCACAGTGGGAAGGTATCCACTGCATTACTAATTTACAACGGTTGCCTAGTTCGGATAATAGTGTCCGTATGCTTGGTAATTTTCCAGACTGGAGTGCCTGAAGTACCGCTTTTGCATCTGTCAGGAATACCACTGGTTGTGAAATATACCCTGTATTAAGTAGTTTCTCTACCGCTATCTTGATGGCTTGAACTTCTGCATCATAGTTGTGACAGTGCTTTCCTGTTGGTATTTTGGCTGTATCCCTGGTATTATTAGGATACTCAATGTACACTCCTGCACCTCCATTTCTGACTGCACTTTCTGCTGACCCATCTGTGTAAACACGGACCCAAAGATTCTGTTGCTATTCATCATCAAGTAGACTGAGGGTGGCTGTTTTGCGCTGCACACTGTTTTGTTCTTCCTTGTCAAATACTCCTTTCACTTCTGTATTGATGTGTATTGGAAACTTATACTCCTCTCTCCAGGGGGTCCGTTCTGGGACAGCATTTAAGAATCTATCAGTTGCAGGCAAATCAGTGGTTTGTCTGCCGAGCCGTTTGGCCTGGTGGATGAAACAACTTCTCTTTAGTCCTCCCAAAGCTAGATTTTGGAATCTTTCATTCATAAGGTGACTGGGCATACTAAGAAACTTTTCTGCTTTTAAAAGCATCTTGGTGTCTCTGCGTTCACTCAGTGCTTGGGTCATCCCCATTTTCTCCATCACGGCTATAGGTGTTGATTTCATACTGCCTGTGGTAACTCTGAGTTCTTGATTTTGCACTTTGTCTAATTCTTGCAATGTGGTTTTTAATGCCGAACTCCATGCTGTTGATCCCTATTCAAGATGTGGTCAAACACTTTGTTGGTAAACTTTCCTAAGGATTTTTTCGCCAGCACCCCATGTGGTTCCACTTAGTTTTCTCAGAATGGCTACCCTTCTTCTGGCTTTGGTTGCTGCCTTGTTGATGTGTTTTCTCCATGTTAACCTATCATCAAAAGTTACTCCGAGGTATGTGGGCTCCTTATCCTCTCTCAGGGGTACTCCATTTATGTGTATGATGCCTGATTTTTGTTTTGGAGAGAGGGTAAAGAGGATGGTGCTGCATTTGCCTATGTTGATACTACACAAACCATTTGTTTATATACATTGGTTCTGACTGCTGTATCCAGTTTCTGTAAACATTTATGGTGCATGTTCATGTCTGACTCTTGTAGCATGTTTCTGTACAGAGTTAATGTACATGTCTATGTTTGACTGTGGTTTCTGTACATATTTATAGTAGATGTCCATTGTTTGACTGTTGTAGTCATGATTATGTACACATTTATGGTAAATGTCCATTTCTGTTTGTTGTAGCCATGTTTTTGTAAATAGTTATAGTATATGTCTATGTTTGACTGTTGTAGTCATGTTTCTGTACACAGTTTTGGGACAAGCCCATATATGACTATTGTAGTCATGTTTCTGTACACAGTTTTGGGACAAGCCCATATATGACTATTGTAGTCATGTTTCTGTACACAGTTTTGGGACAAGCCTATATATGACTATTGTAGTCATGTTTCTGTGGACATTTATGGTAAATGTCCATGTCTGTCTGTTGAAGGCATGTTTTTGTACACATTTATAGTACATGTCCATGTTTGACTGTTGTAGTCTCGATTATGTACACACTTATGGTAAATGTCTATGTCTGTCTGTTGTAGACATGTTTCTGTACACACTTATGGTACATATCCATGTCTGTCTGTTGAAGTCATTATTATGTATATACTTATGGTAAATGTCCATGTATGTCTGCTGTAGTCATGTTTCTGTACATATCTATGGTACACGTCCATGTCTGACTGTTATAACCATGTGTCTGTACACATTTATGGTACATAACAGTGTTTGACTGTTTTAGCCATGTTTTTGTATACAGTTATGGTACACGTCCATGACTGACGGTTGTGACCATGTTGTTATACACATCCACATCTGACTGTTTTAAACATGTTTATGTACACATTTATGGTACACAACAGTATTGGACTGTTGTAAAAATGTTTTTGTACACATATATGGTACATACATATATAACTGTTGTAGTCATGTTTCTGTACACGTATGTATCCATACTTTAAATAATAAACCAGCTCCTAGGTCGACCCAGCCTTAAATGGGTACCTGATACAATCCTGGGAAGTAAAGGTAGCCGGCATAATGTCGACCACAACCAACACCCACAGAGTGTCGATTGGTCTATAAAATATATAGGTTCATGGCCTAAAAGTGAAGGTATGAAAAAGGGCCTTTTACGTTTTTGTTTTAAACTTACATTAACGTCAAAATTGCAACAAATATACCTGCAGCGCTTTATAAAATGAATTTATGTCCAGTTCATCGAAATCGTTGGCCATATCCCCCTCTGACTAATCCTCACAACATCATAAAACAAAACGGCTACAAGAGCGACGTCTCTACAGCAGGGACCCAGCTCACAGTGGGCGGAGGGTTGTCAACTAACAACCGTGACGACGGTTACAGATCTTCGATACTTTATCGATGTGCTAACTTACAGAATTTTAAAGATAAACGCATTTGGATGTTTCAAGGGGTTAAACTATACAGTGAAATGAAGTTTCTGTGTATAAAGTAATATATGTAGGAGACGTTAAAAAAACAAGGGATTTCGTCACTGCTTTTTTCTTTCGTCTGCTTGAAGCTGGGATCGTCAGTTACTTGTGTTTGACTCGATTACTCTACCACGGGACATCACTCCCATGGCTTTTTCGCCTGGAGAACTCTTCACCCTTTTAATGTTGAATGACGAATCGACGTCAAAGCACTCGGGACACTCCCATAAGCGCTCCGTTCCCATCTTCAGCAGCAAGCAAAGCGTTTTAATGCCGATGGCACCAGTAACTGTCTGTGTATCCGTCTTGTCTTTCCCTTGAACGTCAGCCAGATCCCCTGGTAACTCCTCGCAGTGCCATTCTCCTCAGACCGCAATGATCTATTTGTGCCTCCGCACTTTTCACTCGCTCCTAAAAGACCCCGACAACATCCAGCTTGTCCCATACATTAATTCACCACCAAGTGGTGCAGAACCGGCCAGTCTATCTGCCTGCTCGATTCCAAACACACTGGCAGTTGGCGGAAATGTCCAAAGGACGCTAACCGGCGATGATTGATGACTAGGCCATGTATACTTATTTATAAACAATATCACCTCTCTCTCTCTCTCTCTCTCTCTCTCTCTCTCTCTCTCTCTTTTCTCAGTGGCGAAGCGTGATCAATTTGTATGCGTAAATGTTAGGAGGTAAAGGTTACAAAGGAAACGATATCAGGTGATATTTTCCTCCTTGTCCTTTCACTGTCGACAATATGTGTGCACAGCTAGTATTGTCGTACTTGTAATGGGTAGCTTCCACGCGTTGAAAGCGGGCGAGAGCTCTTGTCGTTATGTTCGAGACCTTAACCGAGTGGCTTATTTGTAATAAATAGCGAACAGTAATAATAAATGGTAAAATAATGTGTTTCCTTGGTAGTGGGAAGTGTACATGACTGTTACAGCTGTTAAATGCTGACGCGTGCGATGTACAGATTACACCGCCACTTGCCAAGTGTCTAGGGTTACTCGGTTCTATCCTAATATTCCCCCCCCCCCCCCCAACAGACAGTCGAAAATTTTAGGGTGTGGTATATAGGCTGCATACAATCGTGGGACCTAGACTGCACTCTCATGTGGGACATAGGTGGGTTGGGGTTAGGCCCAGTTCTAGATTATTGGGGGCAGTTAAAAAGCATAAGAAAGCCGGGAAACCCGCTCTTAGTACCCTCGAAAGTATTGAACTGTCCTGTGATGACGCCTGACACATGTTGACAGTCAAAGTCTATGCACCGTTTTTCGAGATCAGGACAATAAATAGCATCATGATTTCAAACTTATTTTTCTTCTTCGCGTTCACCGGCTGTAAACTCCGGTGGAAAGTTCTCGTTGTTCTGTCACGTCTGGACTTCTAGTCTTTTGCAAGAACCTGAGTGTTGTGTGTGAATCCATTTTACAGATATGACTCATTTGCATGCAACAGCTGGTTCCATACATCTCAGGCAGGTGCACTCCGACTTCGAAGGAAGCTGCCAATTAGTCGACTCTTACGACATGCTTTTGGGTGGCCAGTGGGTCTATTCTTGTTTTCCTTACAATAGGGCTCTGGAACCCACACGGGGAGTACGAATTTCAGACTGCTTCTGTCACTCTCACTACCAATGCATACACATTTATGACGCTTTGGAAGGCTTCTACTGCCAACCTAAGTTCTTTGGTTGCTACGGGCAATCATTACCCGCTGGCGCAAATCCACAGCTCGTGATTACGTGACTGTCTCTATGACACCTATCACGTGTATATACAGTCACTAGAGAGATTTACAGGCCGATGCGCAATACTTTGTGGAAATTATCCAGACACTCCGCCTGCGGCCTGCAAGTACCTTGAGATCTCCCGATCTCGTCTCACGAACCTCCATCACGCTGGACCGGGCTACTACGGCAACTCGCGCCGATAACCTGGATACCTAAATACAGTGTAACACATAGCTGTGCAGGTCTAGTCTGAAAACACCCAGACTAGAACATACCCTCATGCACGTCACCCGAGGTCCCTGATTCCGTGCTATTGCTGCACACATAATAATAACATCAGTTATCATGGGCTCTGACGATGCGTCCTTCCACTTCAAGGTCGTGGAGTCAACTGCTCTTTCTCTTCGTGGAGTCGACTCTTTCTCCCACGTCGTGGAGTGAACTGCCTCTGATAACACACATTTAAGCAGTGGGTCTGTTATGCTTGTCCCCACAATGGGCTCCGCAACCCATACGGAAAAACTGAGGGAGTTGAGTTCAGAGTATCGGCATTCAGCGTCCCTGACCCCATTTAGGAATTAATCCCTAGAATTAGGATGTTTAAGGAATGCCTGTAAAGGGGGAGGGGGGGGGGCACATACACTGGAACAATCAGACGTTACGGAAATCCCCTTCATCGATAACATGAAGGTTGTGACTGGGAGCTGGGGGATGGGGCGGGGGGGGGGGTGGCTTGACCACCGGAGAGGTACGTAAATAACTTTAAAATATAAGAAGATGAAAAAAAAAATTATGCGGAACGACTCGGGTTCAGTCACAGTTCAGTTGATTCCTTTCTTGAGACCAGCTTGATTGCAATCAGGCACACCTTTAAGTAATCACGGCTGGTTGCATGAAGAACAAAATGTCGTGGAGGTGGCACGGCACATAAGGAAGGGAATGAAAATGAAGGAAGGAAAGAATGATTGTAGAAAGGAATAGATCTGAGCGTCTGAGAGTAAGGTAAGGTCGGGAGATGTGAACCACCGTCATTGCACACGGTTATAAACCATAAGTGATCTGCCACCAGTACGGACAGCTGATAAGAATTGTCCGCCTGTGTCGCCGTTCGCACGGAACTCTATAGCTACAGCGACGTTCCTATATTTACCACAGAGTGTCACCCTGGTACCCATTACCTAGAGGCTGGGTGAACCCCGTGAGCCGCCTGGTTTCGAACACCGACCGTGGGCTCCAGCGAGTCGCAGCTGGATTTGAAAGCGAGCCTCTTATCGACTGCGTTAACACGGCTCCTATGAGCGTCTGAGAAGAATCAGACTAAACACAAATGTTCACAACAGCAGGCCTGCAATCCCAGGCTATAATTGTAGAGGACTTTTCTTAACGTGGGCGGGGCTTGCTACTAGCAAGACCCGCCCACATCTTCCAGAGTTATAGCATAAGATTTCAGGCCCGTTGTTGCCATCAAATGTATTTAAAGCAAAATTATGGAAAATTATAATGGTCCACACCTGGTCCCGCTAAGTACAAACTTTACTGAGATATCAACGTCTCAAAATTCACTGCTCATTTATTTAAACATATTGTTGTTGACGTCTAAGGCTGTACAAAAGCAGCACTAGCAGAAGACGAAGAAGAAGAAGAAGAAGAAGAAGAAGAAGAAGAAGAAGAAGAAGAAGAAGAAGAAGAAGAAGAAGAAGAAGAAGAAGAAGAAGAAGAAGAAGAAAAAGAAAATCTTGTAAAAGGCTTTCAGCACAGTTGACAGAGACTCATACCGGATGTGTCAGTCTGAGGACCAGGCAGGGTAGCAATTCATAATTTCCAAAACTGACAAACAATGGTAGAAAAGGCCGAGACGAGAATACAAGCAAACAAAGTAATGTTTTTTTTTCATAATATAAAAAAAACAACAACTTTAGTCTTATTCAGCTTTCTGAGCCCTTGAGGTTCAGTGCTGTAGATACTACCCGCCTCCATTCATCTCTCTGGTTGGCCTTCTCTTTCCAGTTGGTGACATCAAGTGTTTGCAGATATGTCTGGAGATTATCTCTCCATCGCCCTCTTGGTCTGCCTCGTGGTCAATGACTATTCAACCCCCCTTTGTGTACAGTTTTTACCGCTCTGTCATCTGACATTCTCTTAATATCTTCATCAATTTCAGTCTCTTAACCCTTTTGACGCCATTGATTAATAGTGATTTAAACAGATTATGAATTTCGTTGTTGCTTCTCCCTCTCCATACCCCGCCTTTTGCATCGTTGATAGGTTCAAAGATTCGCCTTAAAAAGTATCTATATACTAAGAATTTTAGTTGTTGTTGTTGTAAACAGTACCAGTCAAAACTAACAAAGTTTCCTGCATAGAAAATAAGTCCGAAATTGACCACAATACCAAATACTTTTATTTTTTTAGACCAACAATTTTCCAAAAGGCCAAATTGTTCGCATTTGGCCTTAAAAAAAAATTGGCAACCCTGATACTGCAGTACCAGCCAGGTGAGACGGACACGGAAGTGGTACCTACACTTTATTTACTAGTTGCTTGTGAAGCGTTGTCAAAGTTCAAACATGATGGCTGTGGGAGTAACACGATAAAACAGGTATGCACAATTGTTTGTTGTCTTCTCCATATAACATCACGCTGACTACTCTCACCTGGAGCCACGATGCTGTGACACGGGTCACTTTTTTACCTGGTGACATGGGACGTACACGGAAGTCAACTTGTGCTACAACGGGCTGTGTACGGCCACTACACAACAACTACGCTAGATAGGTTTTATTTTACTACTTTGACTACACAAATGTAATTGAACTAATTGTTTGTATTTGTAGCATCACACGCTAATCTGTTTTATTACTTAAGTCTCTCGTTTTAAAATTTAAATCTTTGTTGCGTATTTCTGGGTTGATATTAAATTTTAATTATCTGGGTCAAGTACCGTCAAGCATTGTTGACAGTTGGTTGACATACAGATATGTGAGATATGTATTTATCTATTTTATATGGGACGTCTTGACTTGTTGAGAAAATATGTGACGGCTGTTGTAATTTGTGACAGTTTCAAGTAGTTAATCTGTTTCTCATTAATTTCTCATCACTCGCCGCTAAATGTATTTCATCAACTAATCCTTACTTAGCAAATTATGATCTCAGCGTACTGTACTGTTTGTTCTCTGTTGATGAGAGCATTCATTATACATTCATCATCATAATCATATGGCTGGTCTGTTTGTGGGTTTTCCCCTGTTGGCGTAGGTAGAAACCAAATTGTCAGTTCTTTTCTTGTGGGAATTGCAAAAAAATAATAAATGTAAATGCTTGAATTAATTTAAACTCTGGCCTGGCACAATATACACTTACTAAATGCTAAACTAAAAACTGGTGTGTGTGTTGTAAAACTATATTTATATGTGTGTGTATTATAGTGTGTGTATATATATATATATATCGCCTGGATTTGTAGTTGTTCCCACTGCATTCTTACTATATAACAAAACCATCTGATCTTCTGTTTCTCAGTGAATTTGCAGCATGGTGTAGTTTGCACAGCCTGTCTGATAATATCCTTTCTAACTTCTCCTGGATGCTCAACTAGACTGCTTATCTCAGACATCTCATTTCACAGGTGTTAATTATGGTCAAAGTAAAGCTGCTTAAAATCTATGTCAGATGAAATACCATTACAGTCACATTCAGTGGCTTATGCATATTTCTGTCTCTGCTGTTGAACTATTTATGTATTTTTAACTTTCTTATGTTAGATTGATGTACTTTCCTAATTGCAGTACCACCGGACTTAGGATATTAACCCTCATCCTGATGTTCTAGTTTTATAAGTTAAAAACTTTACTAAATTCTCCGCCTTTGCATTCACCGGCTGTGAGTTCCGGCAGAAAGTTCTGATTGTTCATCCGCCTCTGGACTTTGGACTTGTCCCTGAACCTGAGTGTTGTGTGCACATCCGTTTTACAAATCTGACTTAATTGTATGCAGACTGTTGGTTCCTTGTCTCTCAGGCATATGCACTCTAAATTCAAAGGAAACCCCCAATTTGTTGACTCTTGTGACATGCTTGTTGGGGAGACAGTGGGTCTATTCTTGTTTACCCCAATGGGGCCCTGGTGCCCATACAGGTAACTTGACTACCATGCAGTTAAACTATTTCCAGGTTGGCTAACTTGGTCAGAAGAAGTCAGATGTGTTGGCCAGAGAGGGGAAATATTGCAGCCATGCTGCAAATAGACACACAATTACCTCCTATGCTGAATGAAGTAGGAAAGCAAGTTTTTTTTTGGTTGGTTAAATTTAAAAAAAAACAATAATTGAATCATTATAAGGGTGCGCAGGTTAGAATTTTAAAGTACAAAAAGCAGCTCACAACAAATGTTGCATTACAAATCGATATCACAGCGCTCAGGAATTCCCATAAGTGCTCCATTCCCATCTTTAGCAGCAGGCGCAAAGTTGCAATTCTGGTTGTACCAGTAGCACCTGGACTGAATCATTGAGCCTCGGCCAAATCTTAAGGTTACTTCTCGAGCACCTTTCTTTGCAGACCAGATTTTGTGCTATCACACTATTCACTTGTTCCCAAATGACCTTTACAACATCTAGTTTGTCATGTACCAATTCACCACCAAGTAGTGCAGAATTGGCCAGTCTGCCTGCCTTTTCATTTCTCAGCACACTGTCGGAGAAAATATTCAAAGGATGCTAACTACCTGGGTCCTCTGATATGATGTTTATCACTGTGCAGATCCAGTATAACTAACTTAGTTTACCATTGTTGCAGGACTGGTATTGAATAACTCCAAGTTGCCATCCAGAGTTATCCTGTGGAAGATTGGACTTTAACTCAGCATAAAGGACACACAACTATATTTAGACCTAATCAAAGGAGAGTGACTGCAGTCAAGTTGCCTTTTGCACTGAAACAATTATTCTGATTTAAATACACTGTGTTTGTGTTTGGTGACCTACCACAGCAGAAAACCATGCCATCGAGGAAGTCAGAGAAACAGCCGCAGATCGAGGCCGCTGGTGAGTGTTTGCTGTCTTACAGTATGTGTGCATACATCATCATCTACTGAGTCTATTCACTGTGTACAGGAGGGCTACACAGTTGCTCTTTTTGTCTATTCCATTCTCATTAACATTCACTTCTTTAGGGCTTCTCAAAGCTGGCTTTAGTCTGCTTACCTTTCTCTTGAGTTGCAGGTTGTAGTCCAATAATTGTGCAGCCAACCTCTTACTTTTCCTAGCTAATTGATTTATAGTACTTTAATTTGGTGTCTTCTGACTCAGTGACTGTTGGTTCAATTTCCATTGATTTAGTGTCTGTTCATTTATTATTATTTTGTGGGGGGGGGGGGATATAAATGTGTGTTGATTCATTATCTGTTGATTATCTGTTGATCCAGTCTTTCAAGCGGGAGTGGAGAAAGCAGAATAGAGATTTCAGATCAGAGAGTGACAGCATAAACAAACTCAACAGGAAAGAACAAACATCAATTTTTAGACTTCGGACTGGACACTGTGGTCTTCGAGCACACCTGTACAGGATAGGCATAAAAGAATGCTGCCTGTGATTGTGGAGCAGAAAGACAGACCCCAGAGCACATACTACAGTACTGCCCTTACCTCTCCCAGCAAAGACTGTGGATCTGGCCCAGGGGATCCTCATTGCGAGAGAAGCTATGGGGGACCGGTGGCGACCTTTAACTCACAATCCTTTTTTCGACCCAGACGAGACTCAATGTTTAGCATGACTGATGTTGTACGCAGAAGAAGAAGAAGAAAAATGTTGATTACTGCCTATCAGTTTAGTGTCTTTTGATTCAGTATCTGTTGATTTATTGCCTGATGACACTTTATATGTTAATTAACCCTCTGTAAATAGCTTATCTCATTATTTATTGTCTGTTGATTGACTCTTTCATGACTTAGACATTTGTGATGCGTTCTATTTATTCATAGCCTCTTGATATTAATTTGATATATTAACTTTTTTCCCTGTAAATAATTATGTCTAATTATTATATCTTTATTTATTAGCTGTTGGTATGTCTGCAGTGTCTGTTTATGTGTATTCTCTGTTGGTTGAGTGCTGGTGACCTAGCACTTGTTATTACTTTATCTGTTCATTCATTATCTTTTGACTTGTTGTCACTGTTTTTTTCTTTCTCCAAAGTGTCTGTTATTGTTCCTGTTTATTGAGTAATTTTTCACTGCCTAAAATTAACTGCTGGCCTATTTTGTTTACAGTTGCCATGGAGAAGCTGCAAGAGCTACTGCCAGAACTAGAAGATATTGGGGCTGAACATGAGGACCTTGACCTACTTAATGATGTCCTCGGAGATACAGAATATTTAGCTCTAGGGGAGGTAATTATGTATGAATGAATGTGCTGTATAATACATAATATTTTTGAAAGATTACATCTGTTTTATTTGTGTGTGTGTGCATTAAAATGCAAAAGAAAGTCACCAATAATAAGGTGTCAATTGCAGTGAGAAAAAAGAATGTTGAAGTATGATGTAGAACCTCTGTTGTTATATGCCTGGGCGACATAGACTGTAAGATGTCACGCTGAAAAATATTTAGTCGTAGCAGAGATGTCATTTTCTAGAAAAGTGCACAAAATACGAAGGGATAATAGAAAAAAACAAACCAAGCAGTTCTCCTTGAGATAGTGAAAATTTTAAACTTGTTAAAAAAATTTGATTAAAACAAATCAGTGTTTTGTTTTAGACACTAACTTGAGAATTGGTGATGGCTGGCAAGATTGATGGAAAGACAGTACAAAGGAAAGGTGAAGAAATAAATGCTTGCATGGCACATGGCACACGGGTAGTAACCCATAAGTGCTCCGTTCTTCTTCTAACTCATGTCTGAGTCCGAAGAAGCTCAGCACAGTGCACAGGCTCTGTAGCACCGGAGAGGATCCTTAAATACTTTAGGTAGTTTTTTAACTCCAAATTTTGTCCAGGCAGTGCCGTTAGGCCTCTCTTTTCGATTTCCAACTGTCTATTTTGTATGTGTGCATTGGGTGATATAATTGATGATACGATTATCAAGGCATTGCTTTTTTTTTCATCATCTGTCTTAAATGTTTTCTGACATCAGATCTATGACATCCTAACCATGGAGCTTCCACGCTGTATAGATGACAGTGCAGCAGAAAACTACCACGACACGCTGGAGATCGTGTCAGCTCGGGCGTCCACACACAAGGGCGCTAGAGAACTCAAAAATATTCTGGAACAACCTCACTTGAAGGTGAGTTTTGTTTATGCCTTGTTATCTCCTTATTTATTGTATGTATGTCTGTCCTCTACAGTGTACCTTTGTGCTTTTCTGTCAGCATTATCATCAATTTCCACTTCTACCATTAAGCATTATAGGGAGGGACAGTTTGCAATCCATTCCTTGATGGTAGCAATAGTAGTTGTCATTCTGGTCTCTCCCCTTGAGCCTAGGGCAGCACACAGGGCAAAGGTCATAGCTCTGCATGTCTGGCAGTTTGTTGCCACCTGCTTTAGGTCTTGGATGTTAAGGCCACAGTTGAACCTTCCCTGATGATGGTTCTACGCAGTGTCTCTCTTGGTCTTCCCTGTTTTTCCCTTCTGGTGTCTATATGAGGACTTGTTGGTGGAGTCTGGTCGTATACATTCTGAGTGCATGGCCGATATAGTTCCAGAAGTGCTTTCTTATAAAATATGATACATTGTCTTGTGTCTGTGCAGAAGCTCTTTAATGTCATTGGTCCATGTTCTCCTTGGGCAACCTCTTGATTTCACATCAGTTCATATGTAGCGCCTCCATTGATAGTTGTTCTGGCTTCATTCTTACTACATGTCCAAACCATTTGATCTTCTGTTTCTCAATGAATTTGCTACATGGTGTTGTTCCTATAGTCTGTCTGATAATATTCTTCTTCTTCTTCTTCTTGTTCACCGGCTGTGAATTCCGGCGGTAAGTCGCGGTTGTTCGTCCAAATGGACTTTTGGCTTTTACCGCGACCTGAGTTTTGCGTGTACATCCGTTTTACTGGCTTATTTGTTTGCAGTTCTCGTTCCCCGCCTCACCGGCAGATGTACTCCGACTTCGAGGGAAGACGTCATGCCTATTTCTAGGTTGACTGTGGCCATTGTTTTGTGTGGGTCGAGATGTTGCCTCATTTGTGTGGTGTCCTCTTTGACCTTTAACAGGTGTGGCCCCCTGAAAATCCTCCTAAGGCAGCCTTAGGTAGAATTGTCGGCCCTCAGGGGAAGGCAGGGGCAGATCATGGGCATTCCCCGCCATCCAAGGAGGCTTCCATAAATGCAGAGCCGACACATGATGCTCTGGTTCTGGGCTCACCCAAGCAATCGTCACGTCCTGCCCATGACTGCTTAACCTCACAACCGTGTATTGAGCTTCCCTTGCTACAAGGCTGCGCTCTCTGGAGATCAGCGGGGAGTAGCCCGCAGGTCCAGGACTTTTGTGGCCACACAAATGGGTACATTCTTTTTTCATCATGCATTAGACACCTTTAACGTTGTTTCAACTGTGCCCTTGGCACGACAGAATGGGGAAGCAACATGCGTCAGGCGTGGCTTCGCCTGTTCGGTCCCAACACTCGGGCGAGTGGGACCAGTGGATACGGACATTTGGACTTTTCCTAATCGGTACGAATTATGGTCGTCGGACTTTGAGCTTGCATGTGTGCCGTAGGATTTAACTTTGTCAGACATTATTTCCTAGCCAGCAGATTAAAAGTAGCTGCCGTGGTGTACCTCAGCGCGGTGACGACGACGCTGAGGATTGACAGAGGATGTACGTACGTAGGATCTTGCTGCGATAACTCACCCACAAGAGATGTTACCCGTTCTGGCTGCGGGTAAATCTCTCGGTCAAGGGTTGAGTCTCAGCAGCACAGTTTTCCCTTCGCTCCAGACTTTTAACCGAGAGTTGTCATTTGATGGTACATTTGGCAAACAATCCTTACTCATGTTCCGAATGAGTTTTGATAGACTTTTCACCCATGCGTTTGGGGGCGGGCTGATGAGAGCAAGAAAGGACACTACACCTCTAGGGGCCGCCAGCTCCGAGATACCCTGCCAACTCTGTTAATGCTCATTTGAGACATTATCCGTGGCCCACGACTGGGACGTGCAGCAGGAGTCTTGCATGAGGTTCCGTAAAACCAGAACAGTGAAGGACTGGCGCTAGAGTGGGGTACAGAATATCTCCTTATACACACCACATCAGACTTAACTTCCCCTCATGCCTGTGACTGAAATCACCGCGCCACTCTGATAATATTATTTCTAACTTTGTCTTGGATGGTTTAATGGTGGCTTTTCTCACACATCTCATTTCACGTGGGTTAATTTTGCGTTAGCCTTTAATAATGCCCAAGCCTGGCACCAGGAGCAGTGTGTGCTTTTTGTTATTGCCTCTAGTTGTGTCCTTTTCTAAATCTGCTGCACTTGTGTTGTTGTAGTTTCAGCTTCACCGCAAGCAGTCACTCCATTGTTGCTCAATTTCAATGCTAGTGGAAATCACTGTCCCATTTACAAACTAGTGAACAGACAATTAGATCCTTAAAAGCCAGAGACATGCAACTGTTGGTGCATGCTAGGGGTGCCAACACCAACAGTCATTATCAGATTTGCAGTTTGTCATTGATGGAAATGAGTAGTCAGTTATGATGAGTTGGTCGTACACAAGCAAAATTATTGCATAAGGTATTTCGCCAGGCCAAACGCAAGCTGGCTGCTAGCCATTTTCTGAATATCACAACACAACTGCTGTTGGCACAAAAGGCATTCAACATGAAATATACAGCTCACCGTGTTGCACCAAGTGCTAAACATAGTAGCCTAATCGGCAAAACCATAGACTACATAAAGATCAACTTACACTAAACAGTGGAAAAGGTACACAAAAGATTCTTAATCACCTTCCAGTTTTCACCAGATCATCATGTAGCAGGTCCTTTGCAGAACGTCGCTCTCATCACAGTCTGCCTGAAAGAAACTCGGTCTCTCGCCAGTTCTCCTGCCTCATGCATTTTCACATTCAAGGAGTCACCTATATCCTGTGCCCATCTTTGTGTCGGTCGGCCCCTGCCCCCCTTCCTGGTACCATGCCTTCTGCTATAATTTTTTCCAATCCGTCGTGGCGCTTGATATGACCAAAATATTTCAGCTTTTGAGAAAGGATGCTGTTTATTAGCCAATCTTTCTTGATGTTCAGATCAATATTTCTCATCTTCTTTGTCCAAGATTTTCACCAGATAGGTCCTGTTTTTCTTTTTAAGATGCCCACCTGCCGTCCTGTCAGCACTTAAAATAAAATGCCCCTTTTTGTGCCAGTCTGGGGACGTACACTTATAGCTATATCTGTGGACCTTATAAAATTTCCTAGTTTTCAGAAAGGCCTGAAATGTATTGATTTGAATTTCTATTGCGGCATGTTTTTTCAATGCAGTTAAAAAAGCATATTATTTCTTTACTTCTTGACGACAATGGATGGGGTTTTAATGCAATAATACCCAAAGGAATGGTTACATGGACCTGATTGGGTTGTCCTGTTTTTAGCTTAAAATATTATGGTCACCCTTCTTCCAACACTTGGCTAACTAGAGGAGAAGAAAAAATAAAATTTGATGATGTTTGTCTGAACGTGATACAATCTGACATAGTAACATATTCTTTGTCTTGCAGGCTTTGATCTATACACACGATGACATTGCCAGGAAAGCTTATGATGAAGTGTTCATTGATGACCTGGCACTGGTGGCTCCTCCCCCTCCTGTGTTTGATGCTGTGGGGGAGCAGCATCGCTTTGTTACCATTAGAAAAAATGGGAAGCAGCCATTGGTTAGTTTTTTTATTATGTAACTTGTTAGTTAAAGTTAATCCCTAAGTAAATTGTTTAGAATATTAGATAAGGCGAGTTCAAGAAAGGCGAAGAAATAAGAGAAATGTCATGATAACCACTGGCGTGTAGAGGGGGAAAAAATGGCGATAAACTAAGCACACCCTGTTAAGGAACTAAGAGAGAATCATCAAACAAGTGCATGGGAAAGAAACGGCTTGAGGAAATTATGACATCCAAAAGAAACCCTGAGACAGATGTTGATGAGGGTGGCCCAAAGGTTCTGAACTGGTTTCCATCCATGGTATTGAAACAGTTGCAGATGATAGAATGAAATGTAAGAATAGACTGTGTTGATGTGATGAAATTGTTAGTTTTGTCTTGGCCGTAAGGTTCAGTTATAAATTATGTTTTGAACTGTATATAGACTCATACTTGCATTTTGTGGTTAAATCAGCAGACTAGAAATGGACAGTTTTCATGTTTCGCAATATCTAAGAGATTTCATATTTCCCATTATGTAATATACAGCCAGCGTCTAACAGTGAAAGTTAATGCATTTGATAACCTGGGTCCTGAGGAAAAGGTTGAACATAAAATGGGATGCATTCAAGAGGGGTGAAGAAGTAAGAGAAATGTCTGGGCAACCACAGGTAAAAACAGTTATAAAACAGAGACAATGGCGCTGTACTGGGCACATTCTGAGAAGAAATGAGCAGAGAATTATAGACAAGCACTATAAAGGGATTGAAGACGTGAGGACACCAAAAAGAAACCCTGAAATGAATGTTTATGAGAGAGACTGAAGGTGTTGGACTGGATTATATTCATGATATCAAATTGTACAAGATGGAATGTATTGGAGGATAAGACTGAGCCAGCCCTATATGACATTAAATGGCACAACAGGACAGTGATGATGATGGATGGTTTGCTTTTTTCCCCCCGAAAGGTTTCAACTTCACTATAGTTGGGTTTCCTCATACTTGTTCCATTCCTGTGCCAGAGACAATCACATGAAATGTCCCTCACTGGTGAACAAACAATTAGTTTCGGCACAATCCAGAAGAATGCACAGGCAGTAAATGCATATGGCAGTTGCTGGAGACAACAAAGCCAACAGTCGCCACCTGAAATGTAGTTTGTCATTGATAGAAGTAGTTAGGTAGGATAGTTTAGCTATACACATGTAGATTTATTACATAAGATATTTCACCAGCTGTATTTCTGTCGGTATTTAGGGTATCACGGTCCGGCTTGATGAGGACAATGTGCTGGTTATTGCCAGAATTTTACAGGACAGTCTGGCAGATAAACAGGGTGAGTAACCAGAGGTAGATAATCCAGATTTGTTGTATGGAGAACTTTTTATAATGCATGACATAATTTTTTGTTCAAGGACACCATTATAATAATACTTCCGTGTTCCTTGTTTTCAGCCTAATCTTGATGAAGCATATGCATTCTTTCTTATCTTGAAATATTGTTACTGATTTCACATTCAATCCATAGCATACCAATTGATGTTTTGTCTGTTCAGCAAATGGCACTAAGTTGTCTTTTTCTTGTGGGTGAACAATAAGAACTTTTCACTGGAATTTATAGCTAGTGAATGCCAATAAGCAACGAATGCCTGCAGAAGTCTTAATGTTGCCCAAAAGGCACTAATATCGCAGCCATGTTGTAAATGGGCACAACACATTTACATCTTTGGATGAGCACAGAAGAAAAAGAAGAAGAAAGCCAAGAAAAAGAATCATTTGCATGAAGTTATTTGTGATAATGGAGAGATTTTGTTTCAGGTCTACTGAGGGTTGGAGATGTGGTTAAGGAAGTCAATGGTATTGCTGTATTCGTGCCGGAGGACATGATGATTGTTCTGAGGGAGGCGGAGAACTCCATCACCTTCAAGATTGTTCCCTCGGCCATGGACCAGCAGTTCTCGGATCCGGTAAGTTTCATCTCTGCATGCTAGTCATGACAGATTGAATCAGCCATGACAGATTGAATCAGTCATGACAGGTTGTGTCAATGTCAGTCTTCATAGGTTTTGTCAGTAATAACAGTTTGGGTTGGTCAAGTATAATAATATCAGGTGTTTCACTTTGGCAGAACCCACTGTTTCGTTCATAACACGGACACTAATGAAGATATGGCAACAAAATTTGGTATGGACTTAGCACCGTTCATGAGAATCAGGTGACTTCATAAGAGATGCTGGAAATGGCCATTATTAATGCCCAGGCAGCATTGGATGCTGTGTTTCACGTTGTGGAAAGTCCGTCTCAGTATGTCTGGTGTCTCTGCTTGGGTGGCCACACTATGGTTTGCTTTCAGGTCCTCTATGATCCACGGCTATTTTCAGCACCTATTATGATGTCACCTGACTTTATTTGAGCATAGGTAAATTCACTGAAAATGTTGTGGCCGTATCTTTATTAGTGTCTGAGTTATGAATGAAATACTGGTTTCTGCCACAAGTGAAATTACCTAGTACTTAATAGTGGAGGTTGGTAAGTTCATCGGCACTAACATCAACTTCCACATCTTGGTAATCTTAGTTTAAGGTTCATAGCAAACGGGTCACCCCATAGTTGCTCCGCTCTTGTGCCAACAAAAAACACACAGAATGTTTATCAGAGTCCCTTGTGGAACGATTGACAGACTGTTGTCTCAGATTATGCACTGGCACACAGGCATTAAAAGCATACGATAGCCATTAGAAGGGCTAACACAAACAGTCTAACATTAGAAATACAGTTCATCGTCGACAATAGCAGAAGCTACCAACAGATCAGCAGTTGCACACGCGATCATTTTTGATCACATAAGGGCACCACCAATATTGCGACGACAGGCCACGAGCCATTTTCTGAATCTACAAATCACAACACCACTTTGGTCACAGTCAAAAAACATTCCAAATGAAATCTGCAGCTCACGGTGTTGTGCAATGGACTCAACTCAGTAGCTGGGTTATGAAACTATCATTTCAGTCTACAAATGAAGCAAAAATGCATCGGCTACCGCTTGGAAGAAGCAAACAATTTGCAGTGGCTCGAAACAGTGACAGTGCCTAGTGTCAGTTTAGATCACATCTACTTACAAGTGGTCACTAAAAGGAATGGTTATAAGTTGGGGCTGAAAAAATGTCTGAGATATTGGCTTCCATCCAGAGGTCACAGATAATGTGAGCCACATGAATATTTTGCCCGTGATATGTAGGTGTGTTTGGGTATCAGCGGACTGATAGGTTGGCTGGATTGGCCGCACTTGGTTATGTACTGCAACTGCACATGGCAGAGATGATCTTTCACCTGTGGGACGAGGTAACAAGTAAAAGGGCTATATGTGCTACTAGAGACTCACGAGTAGTTAACCAGATGACGGTGGATACCATTAGTATGGAGCTAAGATGCACTTGTCTTGAATGATGTGACATCAAATCTTTACCCATATGAACTCAGATGTCAACAGCCTAGTTATGATGTTGGAGATGTCAGTTAACAGCCACATGATGATGTTAAGATATCAGCAACATCTGGATGAATGTTCTTTAACCTGTTGTTTTTAAAAACACATATGGATTGGGAAAGTAGGAGACATTTTATATAGACTGATTGATGGCTGGAACAGAAACATAATTAAATGGGAAAAAGCATTTTATAGAGCTAAATCAGCTGCAGCTCAGAGGCTAGAAAATCTTTCATACATGGCTGGAGCGTTGTTTCTGAAACTGCAGTAAAAGGGCTGCAGTGACATCCCCTCAATTTTTCCACTTTGTTTCAACTATAGCAACTATTTGATTGAACAGACAGCAAGGAAATTTCTGCGGACCAGTTGCTCCGCTGACGCAGGTCAAAGAGCATAGATCTAGAAAAATTCTAGTTCTATCATGTGTACTGTTCCTCATCCTAGGTCTACATGAGAGCATGTTTCAACTATGACCCCGTGGCTGACCGACTGATTCCCTGCAAGAAGGCTGGGCTTCCATTCCGGGAAGGAGATATCCTTGATGTTGTTGACATGACAGATGAAAACTGGTGGCAGGTAAGTGAAGTCTTCAGTTGACTGTGTTATGTAAGTGAAGTCCTCAGTTGACTATGTTATATAAGTTTATTCCTCAGTTGACTATGTTATGTAAGTGCGGTCCTCAGTTGACTATGTTATGTAAGTGTGGTCCTCGGTTGACTATGTTATGTAAGTGCGGCCCTCAGTTGACTCTGTTATGTAAGTGTGGCCCTCGGTTGACTATGTTATGTAAGTGCGGTCCTCAGTTGACTATGTTATGTAAGTGTGGCCCTCAGTTGACTCTGTTATGTAAGTGTGGCCCTCAGTTGACTCTGTTATGTAAGTGAAGTCCTCAGTTGACTATGTTATATAAGTTTATTCCTCAGTTGACTATGTTATGTAAGTGCGGTCCTCACTTGACTATGTTATGTAAGTGTGGTCCTCGGTTGACTATGTTTTGTAAGTGTGGCCCTCGGTTGACTATGTTATGTAAGTGTGGTCCTCAGTTGACTATGTTATGTAAGTGAGGTCCTCAGTTGACTATGTTATGTAAGTGCAGTCCTCAGTTGACTATGTTATGTAAGTGGTTTTCAGTTGACTGTTATGTAAGGTGGTTTTCAGTTAACTATGTTGTGTAAGTGTAGTTTTCAGTTGACCTTGTTATGTAAGTGTGGTCCTCAGTTGACCTTGTTATGTAAGTGTGGTCCTCAGTTGACTGTGTTATGTAAGTGTGGTCTTCAGTTAACTGGTATGTAAGTGCAGCCCTCATTTGACTGGTATGTAAGTACGGCCCTTGATTCACTATGTTGTCAGGTTGAAATATTAAGATAAAATTATGTATGATAAATATGTTACTTTATGTTAAATTTCATGGTGGCCTGAAGAGAATGGGAGGTGGGGGGGGGGGGGTATTTCCAGAAAACGAGGCATATGCAGACCTTTGCGAATGTTGGTACAAGTCACTGAAGATGCATTGTCCATGAAAGCACATAGGGTTGGACTAGAGAAAGAGAGACTTTCAGGTGTATCATGATGAGACCAGTGTTTTGAAAAAGACTTGCTGAGTGATGAGGATGATGATTGTTAGCCAGGATATTATTTTGTGTCCCTGGATGGGCCAGGTTTTTATGTCTGTGGCAGAGCTGTTTATTGCCATTAATAATGCTGTTGTTGCATTGCTATGTGAGGTTAAGGACAATTAGAACACAATAGATTTTTCAATGTAGTGAAGATGGCTTGAAGGAAATTAACTCACAAAGCGAACCATTCATTGCGTGAAAAGGGGCCAGTCATTGTGTGTTTGACACAGGAACTCCTGTGTGGGTTTCAAGACCCCATTTTGGGGGGAAAATAAAAACCCACTGCAGCCATTGGATTCTTCTTCTTGGCTTATTTTTATGCAGACTGTTGGTTTCTTGCCGTAGGCTGATACAGTTTGACTTTGAAAGAAACATCTCTAATTAGACAACTTGTACGATATCCTGTTTACAAAAAAATGGGCCCCAGAACCCACAAAGGGAGCTGAATTATAAGATGTGTGAGTTATATCATGTGGATTATAAGATGTGTGAGTTATATTATGTGGATTATAAGGTGTGTGAGTTATATTATGTGGATTATAAGATGTGTGAGTTATATTATGTGGATTATGTCAGCGAGTTACAGGTGATGTCCAAATGAATGTTTAGGACATGACCTATAGATTCCTTCCGGCATCCCATGCTGTTGTTTAAAAAAATCTTTTTTTTTTTTTTTTAGATTTTTACATTTTAATGCTTTTTTGCAATCAGGCCAAGCTGGCAGAGATTCCTGATGCGCCAGTTGGTCTCATTCCCTCAAGAACATTACAAGAGAAGAGGAGTGCATATGTGCAACCAGAGTTGACCAAAACTAAAACCAGTTTATGTGAGTAACTGTTTGGTTTACACTTACATTTGTTTAAATATATGAATTAAGAAAAGAAAAAAAACACCATTATTTCTGTGTTTTGGGTCAGATATTATCACAAAGAACTTCCTTAGAATGTGTTGCCAGTAAAGAACTGCTGCTGTAAACAAAGAACAAGCTACCCAACACCGAAAGACCAGGTTCAGTGCCTAAGATAAATTTATGTAAACCACATTGTCATTTGAGTGCTTTGAGGCAGATTCTGTCCATATTCCATAGTTCTGTATTCAATCTGTATGACAGACATGACTAAAGCAGACACCCTTTTAAGAGGTGCCTGGTTGGTCATGCGTCTTAGTACATTTGTTTTTCCAGCAAGTTGCAAAACAAAGCAAAAACACTGCCCAACATTTTCACTCAACAAAACGAAAAATGCCATTCATTTTTTTAAAGGGACGAAAAAAATTAAAATTACTAACATTAATTTTAATGGGAAAAATAGTTTTAGAATCAGTTTTCTAGCTCAAAATAAGCTAGATAATGTATCAAATTTTATTAGAACGTAAAAGAAAACGGGGAAGACCAAAAGAAACCATGCGTAGAACCACCATCAGGGAAGGCTCAGCCATGGGCATAATAAACATCCAAGACGTAAAACAGGTGGCGACAAACCGCAAAAAATTTAGAGTTATGACATCTACCCTATGTGCCGCACTAGGCTCAAGAGGGAAGACCGACTGACTAACTTTAAACAGCAGAATATCAGAAACAGAGATACAGAAATACATGAGAATGATGAAGTGGAAATTATAATTCCTTATTTAAATTGTATTGATATAGGGAAAAGTAATATGCCTTTTGTTGGGTGTGCAGAACATGTTTAAAACCTCAAACATTTTTTTTTTTAAATATATATATCTAGTAATTTATGTCCTGGGATTTGGAAAACTCACAAAAACATGCAAGAAAATTATAATTCCTTATTAAAATTGTATTGATATAGGAAAAGTAATATGCCTTTTGTTGGGTGTGCATATCACGTTTAAAACCTGAAACACTGTTTTTTTTTTTTTTTAATTTTATATATCTAGTAATTTATTATGGTGTGGCCTCGTGCCACGGGACCGCTACGGTAGCCATGAAGGCCACCCTGGGTCACCCCGAAACGTCCTGGCCAACGGGGCTCTGGTGAAGTTGCGACAGGCCTAGCAAGCCGGCAATGGATTTTTTACCGCTACAAAAATCAAAATGAGATATAAACGGACTGATCAAACGGTATCTGACCATGGCAATGTTAACGGACTACGAGACAGAACAGCGAAATACAAGATTGCAACACTTAACACCGCTGGCCTGGGAAATAAAACAGAAGAGATTATTGAAATGATGGAAAAAAGGAAAATCAAGTTAATGGGGCTAGCTGACATAAGACGCAAGGGAAATATTAATAAGAAAATACACAGAGGCTACTTACTAACATATGCAGGAGGAGAAACATCGAAGAATGGAGTGGGTTTCCTGGTACATCCAGACATATCTAACTACATATTAGACATACATTATCACTCAGATAGAATTATTACTTTGAAAATTAAAAGAGGAGAACAAGCTGAAACATATATACAGATATATGCACCATGCAATGATAATTATACAGAAGAGCAGAAAGATGAATTCTTTGACGATCTGTCTGATGAGATAAAGAAAGTTGAGGGAAGCAGCATACTATATGTAATGGGTGACTTCAACGGGAGGGTAGGAAATAACAGAAGAGAATACGAACAATTTTTTAGGTCCACATGCAGCTAAGAACAGTGCTAGAAATGGAAATGGTCAAAGAATATTGGATCTATGCAGCCAGCACAATCTTTTTATTACGAACACATTCTTTGACCATAGAGATTCACAACTTTACACTTGGTACAAATGGAATGATATCTCCATCAAGAGCCAGATTGACTTTATACTTACCAGAGTTCAAGGAAGAAGGAGAATTCTTGATTCAAGAGCAATCCCTAATGGTCTATGTGACACTGACCATAAAATAGTTGTGTTAACAGCAAAACATCTTACATTAAAGAAACACAGAAAGAAATTAAACAAAAACAAGGATCTCATCAAGATAGCAAATCTGAAACAGGAAGGAGTAAAAGAACAGTTACAACAGAAAGTAGAGACAGCATTCAAACAACTTCCACATGTAGTTGGCAATATTGAGGAAGAATGGAGTATATATAAAAACACTATGCTTAGTATTGCAGAAGAATTATGTGGAAAACGGAAGAGTGGAAACAGACGAGGAAAATAACAAATATTCACCTTGGTGGTGCGAAGAAGTAAAAGAAGCAATTAAAAAGAAAAAAGACTTATATAAACAGTGGATAAAATCAAAGAAAGAAGAAGATTATATAAACTATAGACTGCAAAGGAGAGAAACCAATAGGAGTGTCAAGAAAGCAAAACAGGCATCCTGGGAACGTTTCGGTGAGTCACTAGCAGAAAATGAGAAAACAGCCAGCAGAAAATTTTTCAAAGTGGTTAAAAATATGCGGAAAAGAGATGAGAGCTACAACCTCACTGAAATAATTAATGATAAGACAGGAAGGCCATTGATAGATCCACCCGAGATTGCAGAAAGATGGAGGGAATACTTCAATGAGCTCTTTAATCCTCTAGGAGATCATCAGGAAAGAACAACTGAAGAGCACAGAGCAACAGTGTTAGAACCACACATACTAATGGATGAAATAGAAAAAGTCATTAAACAGTCTCCCAAATATAAAGCACCAGGAGCTGATAGATTACCAACAGAAATAATTCAAGCAGCAGGTGAAAGCAGCATCAGATGGCTTCACAGAATATTCAATGCAGCATGGGTACAACAAACGGCCCCTATTGATTGGCAACATGCAATAGTTATACCATTGTGGAAGAACAAAGGAAGCAAACGAGAATGCGGTCAATATCGAGGCATCTCTCTTTTAAGCCATGTTGGCAAAATGTATGCCAAGATAATAGAAACAAGACTGAGACCAGTGATAGAACCACAGCTGGCAGAAGAACAGATGGGATTTAGGAGAAATAGAAGCTGCACAGATGCAATCTTCACACTTAAACAGTTAATAGAAAAGAACATTGAATACAATAAGAACTTATTTGTGGCATTCGTAGACCAGGAGAAGGCATTTGACAGAGTCGACAGACAATTATTATGGAAAATAATGTCAAGATATGGAGTAAGCGAACACCTCATCGAAGTGTGCAAAAGTTTATACAGGGATTGTAGAAGTGTAGTTAGAATAAATCAGGGAACATCTCATCCTTTCACAGTGACATCTGGAGTAAGACAGGGATGTGTCTTATCACCACTGCTGTTTATCACCTACATCGACAGTATATGCAAGAATGCCAAGCCTATGAATGAAGATCTTAGTAAGATCAACGAATTACTCTTTGCAGATGACCAGGCCTTGATAGCAGATACAGCCATGAAATTGCAACAACATCTAACATTCATGAATGAAGAATGTAAAACAAATAATATGAAAATTAACACTGAAAAGACAGAAGTAATGTCAATAGGAAAAAAGAAGACAGATCTAAACATAACAATAGAATACAAAGGCATTAAACAGGCATCTGAGTTTAAATATCTGGGAACTACATTTACCGAAGATGGGAAATTGGATAAAGAAATTGACATTAGATGCAGTAAAGCAAACCAAGTATTGGGACAGCTAGCCCCCCTCTTACAGCATAAGACAATCCCAGTCAGCACAAAGAGACATCTTATTCAAAGCATATTTATTCCAACTCTGTGCTACCAGTGCCAGACATGGTCACTCACAACAAACCATAAAAGAAAATTAGTAACCACGGAAATGAGATGTCTGAGAAGGGCTGTAGGAGTGACCATAAGAGATAAGATCAGAAATGAGATCATAAGAGAACAAGTCGGCACAGAACCAATTCTGGATTACATACAAAGACAGCAAGTAAAATGGTTTGCCCACTTAGAGAGAATGCCTTGTGACACCATACCATACAAAGCATACATGGGAAGAGAAGAAGGACGTAGAGCACGGGGTAGACCAAAAACAAGATGGGAGGATAACATCAGAGAAACTCTACAACAGCACGATGTGCCTATGGTCGAGGCAGCCAGAAGAGCTAGAAACAGAACCTTATATCTCCCTCGACACCCACAGCGGTAAAAGAGGAAGTGAAGAAGAAGAAGAAGAAGAAGTAATTTATGTCCTATGATTTGGAAAACTGACAAAAACATGCAAGAAAACCAACACCAGTCTTCAGCTTTTGAAAAATAAAAATTTTTGCACAAAAATGACCTTTTTTTCTGATTGATTTGATTCAAGCAAATTTTTTACATTTTTTTTAATCAATTTTATTTTCCTGGGTGGGTCTTCCAAATGCCTAGCCTGACAACCTGACTCAATGGGAAAAACCGCCAAGATACACTTTAATCCTAGCCATAAAGCCACAAAGAATGTCATTTTTATTTTCAAAGTACACAGAGTGTACCTGTCAAAAATTTTTAAATAACGTATTATTCTATAAAATATGTCGAATATTTAGGAGGATGTGAAAAATTATTTTGAAAATTACTAGTTTTACTGTTTAATGGTTTTAAATTTTATCATAACTTGCACAATATATTAGAATAAAACAAATGTATATTTATTTAATGATAATCTTTCTAGTTTTCACTAAAGTCTCTTTATTTATTAGCTGTAGGTAAAAAGTTTTTTCTTTTCTTTATTTTTTTTTTTACATTGAATAATTATAATTTGTGGTAATAAAATCTTAAATCTAAATTAATTCCCTTGGAAAAAATGGGCTAAAATTATTGTCTCCCCTTAATGTTAAGAAAATTAAAAAAAAAAATACTTGAGTGTAGTTTTTATTTCTGTCTGTGTACATGGTGTTGCCATTTGTTTCTGTATTGTACGTCTGTAGTGCAAGTGTTGTTGTGTGTACGTGTATCAGTGTTGTGTTAAACTTATTGGTTTTGATCACATTCTTAACACAAATATGTCCTTATGATAATTGCATAACAAATAAAATGGGTAGTTTGTCTGCTTTTGCTGTGTGTGTGTTTGGGTTGGCCCAAAATACACAGGAAAAAATAATTCGGTATGGATGCAAGAAAACAGTAACATACACACACACACACACATACACACACACACACTCACTCACACACACACACACACACACATAGAATAGCGTAATTTGCTGTGTCACGATTTAGGGTTTGTGTGAAACCAGGCAATCTAAAACTAGCCGTGCAACTAGTTTTTTTTTGTTTTGGTTACAGTATGTGGGTTAAAGACGAAGAGGAAGAAGAAGATTGGCTACAATTCAGCAGAGACAACTGGTGAGTTGTGGGACCTTTCGTTTGTATGTCAGATACATATGTTCACTGTACTCTGTATACCACATACATATGCTCTGTATGTGCATTACCTCTACGCTGTACTTCAAATGTGTCACTTGCTTATGGCTGTACCACATATTCTCAGCACCTTGTATATTAAATACCACATCCTATATGTTGTATCCATACATTACACTGTCTGATTCACATCTTGTATGTTAAATATATATCATTACATTATCTCCACTACACCACATATATTTTGTGAAGATGATTTATTGATTTCTTTCTCCTTCTGATAGGCAATATAAATACAAACCACACTTCATATTGGTTCCCTGTTCCCTGCGCGGGTTCCAGAGCCCAATTTTCTGGGTGTGGGATTAGACCAACTGCCCTTCCCCATAACAATCATGCCATAAAAGGCAACCAGTTAAGGGTGTTTTCTTTGAAGTTAGGGCATATCTGCCTGAGAGGCCTGGAACTAACAGTCTGCATACAAATAAGCCAGATCTGTAATATGGATATGCCTGCAAAACTCAAGTTCCAGAAGCGGCCGAACAGTCAGAACTTTCTGCCTGACTTTGAAGCTGGCAAAGACTAAGAAGAAGAAACTAAAAATTGCCATATAGTTTTTACATAAAATGATTAGTTGTTGCTTCCCTTAAAACCTGGCCATAATTTAATAGTAATCTTATGACGTTTTGTGGCTCAGGCATTGTGAACGCGCTTCGTAATGCCGTTGTGCCGGGTTTGATCCCAGCTGAGGGCATTTGGTAGCGGAATATCTTGTGATGGTTTTGACAGTGGTACGGAGCAATGACAAACCCACTGATGAACAGTTTGCCTAGAAAAACCACAACAACCAAAAAATTCTTGGGTTGGTTCTGCAACATCCTGTAATGGAGACAAAACTTCCTGTAATAGATACACAATTTTATGTAATGGATACAGAACATCCTGTAATGGAAATGTAACCTATGACTTTGCTGCCTGAGCTGCATAAATAATGTTTCTTCTTTCTTCTTTCCTTCCTTCCTTCCTCCACTTACTTCATCGGGGGGGGGGGGGGGGGGGGGGGGGGATATAAAGATCTTCTGTTTCTGCTGTGTTGTATTAGTGATGATTTCTTTAAGACTGCTGGTAATGTAGTTGTTCCATTTTGCCTGATTGTCCCCCTTGCTCTGTGTTCATTATAAATCTTCAGTGGGGCTGCCTGTGGAAATTGGTACCATAAACAATAAACACAGAGCTGGCCAAGAATAGTTCTTTTTAGATTTACCTACAGGGGTATTTTTCTGTGTGCGTATAATTAGTACGGTTATTATAAATCCTATGTTTATAGAATTTGATCGATGCGACATCAAAGTCTACGAGGAAGTTGAAAGGTCGAAGACACATCGGTGTACTCTGCTATTGGTGGGTGCTCAAGGGGTCAGCAAGCGATCGCTAAAGGAGAGGCTTATCCGAGACAAGCCCAGAAAATATGCAGCTGCAATACCACGTAAGTTTCTGTTGTAAGATATCAGTTTAACATTACGTATGATTTCAGTGTGTAATTTCAGTGGAAGCTTCTCCCTTTGTGGGTTACAGGGCATCATTTTGGTAAGATGGCGGAAAAACAGACCCAATACCTTTTGAAAGTTGTTCTCAAATGTTCCTGTAAGCCTCAGTAGTAGAGGTCACAGGGTCACAGGATTGATTGCATGATACCTTTTATTTTTAATGCCTATATATTTACACACACACACACACACACACAATAAAAACTGCAGGTAAATAATTTTTTTTTTTTCAAAATTTATTAGTGCCCATATGATAGGGCTATTTTCTCAAAAGAATCCTCCACCCCCTTTTCCTTCCACAAAAAATATTATGTGGATTCAGACAGAATAAAGTTTTTTAAGCGTTCACAGGACAAAGAATTAAATTTGACTGTACAGGAATCAGATTTTTTTTTATGAGTTAACTTATAGACCTAGTTGATCCTGCCTAAAATGTACCAGACAAAATCCTGGGAAATAAAAGGGCAGACATAATGCTAACCTCATTACTTATCGTGTGCCGATTGGTCTATAAAATTAGGAGTCTGTGGCATCCTGTGCTTTTTTTTTTTACAGTGCATCTTTATCGCTTGCCTCCTTGTAGCCACTTATTCCCTCCTTGTAGTCACTTATTATTCCCCCCTTGTAGTCACTTATTTTTCCCTCTTGTAGCCACTTATTATTCCTTACTTGTAGCCACTTATTCCCCCCTTGTAACCACTTATTCCCCCCTTGTAGCCACTTATTCCCCCCTTGTAGCCACTTATTCCCTCCTGGTAGTCACTTATTCCCTCCTTGTAGCCACTTATTCCCCCCTTGTAGCCACTTATTCCCCCCCTTGCAGCCACTTATTCCCCCCTTGTAGCCACTTAATTCCCCCCCCCCCCTTTGAAGCCACTTATTCCCTCCTTTTAGCCACTTATTCCCTCCTTGTAGCCACTTATTCCCTCTTTGTAGCCAGTTTCACTTTTACTCTTGACTTGTTCTACTTTTATCTAAACAAAATATGTTTGACATTTTCTTTGTTTTGTGCCGTCCACAGACACAAGCAGGCCCAAAAAGCCCAACGAACAAGACGGGAAGGGATATTACTTCATTGATGGTGAAACCATGGAAGCAGAAATTAAGAAAAACATGTATGTTGACCATGGTGAATTTGGCGGTCATCTTTATGGCACAAGATTATCAACAATCAGAGAAGTTATCCGCAGCGGTAAAATTTGCGTGCTGGACATCTCAGCTCGGGTTAGTATGTCAGTTAACTTTGTTTGTCTATACAAGTCGGCAGAGTGTGTTTGTGTTATAGTTTTTCTTTAAAGAATGATTTATTTGCTGGTTAAAATGATTAACCATAGAATATATGTAATCTGTTTAAGTGGGTTTATGTAGCACAGCTGTTTTCTTTGTGTATTTCGATGTCACACCCAAGTTCTTCTTTAGTTTGCTACAGAAGAAGTCAATTAAAAGAGAATAGATGAGGAGAAAGATGCTCATGTCGATAGTGGTGATAATGATGATGTCTCGCTTGCTGCAAGCTTCTCACGTGACTCTGAAGCTTGTATAATAAAATTTCTGGAAACAACTGTTCTTTTCTTTACTGTCTTTATTGTGTTACTTTAGTAGTTTCACAAACAACATTAGTTATATTCTGAATGGCCGCTGTTTTTTGGTCTATAGTTACATACTCTTGAGGTCGCCTTGTGTTATTCATCTCTAGTTACTTTGTTAACTGGTTCTAGTGTCTGTAACTGCCACCTGGCTTCTAGTGGTACTAACAGCTTAATATGGTAACAGTTGTTGGTGTCTTCTTTGAGGTGAAGATAGAACACACTGGAACAATCTTCTTTTGGGAAAAGTCAGTAGAGATACCTTGGAGTGGCTGCTGCAGCATCGGGGAATCTGACTATGCATGATAATGCCCAGTATGCGGTGACATCAGTTGTATAACATGACATACCGTGTATACTATTTTTTCCCGTAAGGGACCGGAAACATATCGCTACTGAAAGGGTCATATAGTTTTTCGTGTTCTGCATAGGAATACATTAGGGTTCAGCCAATCATTTTGCAGTTCTTTTGCATGCTGGTTGTTGATAGTTTTTAGGTATATAGGTTTTCCCATTAACTAATAGAAACACCCTATCAGATACTCCCCCCCCCCCCCCCCCCCCTAAAAAAACAGTATATTTTGAACTTATCTTTTTTCTTCACTTATGTCATTGAAATGTTGGGGAAAGGTGTAAGGATCTTAGCTACTTACTTTCCAGTGGGCTCTGTAAGATGGTCTTCGTTTCACTGAAGTTGTTTTTGATGCTATTGTGTTTCGTGTTTTGTGGTGTCTTGTGCATGCTGTGTGCTCCACCATTTTACAGGTTAACACAGAAGGAGAAGAAAAATAACTGACTGCCTTTCAGTTTGTGTGTCTCCGCTAAAGTGTGCAGTTTGTATGTATAAATAAAAGTTTTTTTTTTTTTTTTGCAGTCGTTGAAATTCCTACAGTCACCAGATTTTAAACCCTACATCATCTTTATTGCTGCCCCAAGTGTGGAAGCTCTCAAGGTCATGTACAGGGAAGGCCAGAAAATCAACAACAATGTAAGTGTATATCACAGAATTGATGTCTGCGTGTGTTCTCCGTGATTACACACATCTTGTCACTATTAACTTACATCCTATCACTGATTACACATATCTTGTTACTGAATACACACATCTTATAGCTGATTACACATATTTATATATTGTTGTTTAATTAAACATGTCACAGACTATAATAATTGTATCACTGATTATATGTTATTACACATATTTTATCACTGTTTACAAATATCTTATCACTAGTTACACATATTATCACTGCTTACACAAATCTTATCACTGGTTACACACTTCTTATCACTAGTTACACATATCTTATCACTGGTTACACATACTTTATCACTATTTACACAAATAGTATCATTGGTTACACATATTTTATCACTGATGACACACACCTTATCATTGAATACACACATCTTATCACTGCTTACACACTTCTTATTACTGGCAATCAATGATCACACACTTTATTAATGATTACATATATGTTACAACCGATTACAACAAGTTTGATGATGCAATTTGTTTAGTGATTTTTGCTGTTGAAAATATGGTTTAGTTTGTTTGGTGACAACAGTTTGTCTAGTGATGCTGTTTGTTGGTGATTATTTATGATACAGTTTGTTTAGTGGTACAGTTGTTTAGTGGTGCAGTTTGTTTAGTGTTTATTAAATTAAGCTTAGTGTCTTTAGAATCATCACCTTACAAAACACATTTGGGAAGGTCTTGGAGAAGATAGTTGCTGTAAAGTTACAAGAATTTTTGGAAAGGGGGAAGCTTCTCCCAAGAGGTCTGGGAAGTTACAGGCTAGGAAAGGACACTTGGGCAAATGCGGCCACTTTTGCTTTTGACGTCTATGAAGGGTTCCAGAACAGACAGGAAACTATGGCGGTAGGACTGGATCTTGAGGATGCTTATAACAGAGTGAGATACGACATCTTAATGACTGCACTGAGGGAGAAGGAGGTCAATCCATGGCTGGTGAATTGGGTTGCAGCTGTCCTGTATTCACGTCAGGTTGCTCTCCGACTGGACTCATGGACCTCTGAACCATGCACTTTGGCCCCAGGACTGCCACAGGGATCCGCCATCTCACCTATGCTCTTCAACGTGTATACGAGCAAGATATCAAGCCTAGAAGCACCAGGAGTTGGAAGGATTCTGACTTTTGCGGATGATATACTTGCATATAGGCAGGGGGAAGAGAGAGAACAAACAGCCCGGGAGCTACAAGTGACAGTAGACAAAGTGACTGAGTGGTGTACAGAAATGAAGGCTGTCATCCACCCGGAAAAGGCTTCTGTTTTGTCTTGTTCTCTGGACAACAGAATCGTTAAAACTAATGTCCCAAGTCTCACGATAGATGGTAGAGACATCAACAGAGAGAGCAAACTGAAGTATCTGGGAATTACATTTGACATGAGCCTGTTATTTAAGGACCATGTGGAGAGTGTTGTGACGAGATGCCAAAAAGGACTTAGTGCACTTAAGACTATGGCTGCAATTGACATAGAGCAGAGAATGCTTTTCACACTATATCAGCACCTGATCCTGTCAGTGGTGGATTATGGCCTGGGACTGCTTACCGTCTCAAAGAGTCAGATGGACAAATTAGAGCGCATACAGAACGCGGCTATGCGGGTCATTCTGGGTTGCACCAGAGACACCCCAGTGGTGTGTATGCGATACATCCTTAGTTTGCCGACGGTTGCAGGTAGGCACAAGGTGATGCAGGCGAAGTCACATCTTAGGGTAGCTGCAGACACAGACCACCCTCTGCATGAAGCTCTGTGTGCAGTTAAGGATTAGCGGCTGATAAGAAGGAGGTCATGGATGGCTCAGGCAGAAGACACAATCAGACAGGTTTGCATCCTTGAGAATATTAGGCGAGGAAAGGAGTGGGTCAAAGTGCCACCTGAGCAGTCAGACTTGTGTAGAGTCATAATCACGCTGAGCCAGGAATGCAGAGACTGGCCAACAGGTGCCACAGAGGTGGAAATTCAGCAATTAATTCAAGATAATGCTCGCTCAGAGGATTTGATCATTTACACAGACGGTGAAGTGTCAAGAGGCAAAAGAAGTGCTTGGGGCTTTTTAGCAAAAGTTAATGGTCGACGTTTGGTGCAGGAGAGCCTAGCATATGATACCACAACATCCAGCTTAAGAATGGAGGTGGAGGCGGTCACTGCAGTTTTCCGCTGGCTAGAGATCACGACACACACACACATTGTAATTGTAACTGATTCAGAAAGCATGCTGAGGAAGATCAGAACAGGTATGCTTCGTGCAGAGTGGCATGCTTCGCTGCGGAGGACACGAGTGAGTATTGTCTGGATTTTTTCACCGGGTGACGCCGGTGTGTTGGGAAATGAACAGGCAGACAGACTGGCTGGCTCTGCACAACTTGGTGGAATACTGCTACATGATAAGGCAGACGTGGTTAGTGCCTTGTGGGAGAGCGTGTACAATGCGGAGGAGCAGATGGATCATCACAGTTGGGTGAGATTGATGCAGTTGGGGGTAAAAAGGGTTCTGGCAGAAGCTCAAGGGTCAGAGGAAAGGCAGGACGGACGTTTAATCAGAAAGCTACTGGGACCATTAATATTAGAACTCTTCGCTGGCTGCTGAAGATGGGGACGGAGCGCTTATGGGAATGCCCCGAGTGCTGTGATGTCGGTTCTTGAATCAAATCAAATCATATTATATTAAGGACAACGCATTTCAAATCCGTCATACATCAACCAATGGCAAAACGCTAAGGTTTTGAGATACATTTTGTTTAGTGGTGCAGTTTGTTTAGTGATTGTTCAAGATAGTTTGTTTAGTGGTGCAGTTTGTTTGCTAACAACAGTTTGTTCATGATGCTGTTAGTTTAGTTACAAACCGTCTTATGTTAGATTATTGTGTTTTTTTTGCAGGTGAAAAAGCCAAATGACAGATCCGAATTATTTTTGGTTAGTATCTCGGTTTTTCCACATGTTCTTATATTTGTTTCACAGTTTATTTTTCTAATGCACACATACATGTTTATTTGTCTGGCTCAGTGTCTTTCTGTTTCTGTCTGGTTCTGTGTCTTTCTGACTTTTTTCTGTGTCTGACAGTTCTTTCTAATTTTTTCTAAGTCTAGCTCAGCGTCTTTCAGTTTCTGTGCCTGAATGAGTGTTTTTCTCTTTCTGTGCCTTAGTGTCTTTCAGTTTCTGTGCCTGAGTGTTTTTCAGTTTCTGTGCCTGACTGAGTGTTTTTCTCTTTCTGTGCCTCAGTGTCTTTCAGTTTCTGTCCCTGAGTGTTTTTCTCTTTTTGTACCTGACTCAGTGTCTTTCAGTTTTTGTACCTGACTGAGTGTTTTTCTCTTTCTGTGCCTGACTCAGTGTCTTTCATCTGTGCCTGAGTGTTTTTCTCTTTCTGTGCCTGACTCAGTGTTTTTCAGTTTCTGTGCCTGAAAGAGTGTTTTTATCTTTCTGTGCCCGACTCAGTGTCTTTCACTTTCTGTGCCTGACTGAGTGTTTTTATCTTTCTGTGCCCGACTCAGCGTCTTTCAGTTTCTGTGCCTGACTGAGTGTTTTTCTCTTTCTGTGTCTGGCTCATTGTCTTTCTATTTCTAGTTCAGGCTCAGTGTTTTTGTTTCCATGTGTGGCTTTGTGCCTTTTTGTTTCTTTGTCTGCCTCAGTGTCTTTCTATATCTGTGTCGAACTCAGTTTAAAAAAGAAATAGTTTCTGGCTCATTGTCTTTTTATTTCTATCTGGCCTATTGTCTGTCTCTTTCTGGTTCTAGGGGAGTGTCTTTATATATTTTTGTCTAGCCCAGTGTCTTTCTCTTTCATACAAACAATGTATTGCAAACTCAGAAATCATACAAACAGTTCTTCTTGCATGTACAGGAGTTATAGAAACAATTTTTTGCCTACACAAGAGTTATACAAACAGTTCTTCTTGCAAACACAAGAGTTATACAAACAGTTCTTCTTGCGTATGCTGAAATGACACCAACATATTTTCTGGTATATGCATCAATATACAAATAATTTTTCAGGCAGGAGTCACACAATTTGTTTACTGCATACACACAAGTCATATTAAAATATGTTTTATTGATTAATCTGCAGCCATAAAAAACATATTCATTCATTACAGATTCCCAATGTGGGTTTTAAAGCCCTATTTTGGGGGTTTACATTTTAAAAGAAAAATAATCGAATAACCCCTAACAAGGGGTATTTTCTCGAAAGTCAGAGTGTATCTGCCTGAAATAAGCCAGATCTGTAAAACAGACGTGCATGCACAAATCCAAGTTCTGGAATGAACAGCTAAAACTTCCCACAAGAGCTGACAAAAAAGTGAATGCTAAAGAAGAAGAAGAAAGGTTCATTGCAAATACTGTAGTCATACAAACAGTTTTTTATTACTACATATGTAGAAGTCATACACACATTTGTTACACATACTAGTTAGACAAACAAACAGCCATCTCATTAGAATGCAGCAAGATCAAATACCATCACAAGCACTACATCTCAGAAGATCAGCTACAAGAGCAAGAGGACGGTCGCGGAAAACATGGATCGACAACATTAAAGACACTTTACACCTTCACAGCATGACAATAGCCAGTGGCAGCCAACGTGCACTGGATCGCAAATTATTCCTCCCCATGACGCTTAACGGCAGAAGTGGTTTATGATGATGATGACAGAGTTCATACACACATATTTATTCATTACACATACAGTGTTCATACAAACATATTTATTCATTACACATACAGTGTTCATACAAACATTTATTCATTACACATACAGTAGTTATACAAACATTATTTATTACACATACAATATTCATACAAACACATAATATCTTATCGTTTCCTACAGGAGGAGAGGTTTATTCGCACAGTCAAGGAGTCCCGGGAGATGGAGAAGACATACAAGGGCATGTTTGACGAAATTATTGTCAACGATGATTTTGAGACCACCTACAACACCATCTGCCGACTCATGGATGAGCTGGACAAACAGCATAAATGGGTACCCGTGGATTGGAATGATTGAACTCTGTCTTGGACTTTACAGCCTTTTCTACCATATTCTTTTCATTTCTATGTATAGATCATATCATCAGCACTTTGCCAAAATCACCCAAGGGCAGATTTGGCGATTTTAACTGGGGATTTAAGTGCATTTTTTAGCCTTTTTTGTCACATTACAATATGCAAAAGGCACATGTGTGAATTCTGACTCCAAATGGGTCAAAATTAAGTAATACTTTTCATGAAACTAAACAGTTTTCATCTGATCCCAGTGTGATTTTCTCAGAGCAATGGAAAGGCCTGAGCAAGTCATAATTCTACACCTCAGAACAGGACATAGCGGCTTCACATTTACATTTAAGATTGGTGAATCAGCCATGTGCACGTGGATTGCACCTTAGACAACAGATCATGTCCTCCAAGACTGTCCCAGGTAAAACATATCAAGGCAAAACTTCTGGCCAAGAGAAACACCAGTGCAAGCCAAACTTTACGGGTCGTTGAGTGAAGTACAAAAGACAGTGAAGTTCATACTAGAGACAACATTGAGAATATAGATAGTCTATTTCAAACGAACAAAAGAAGAATTTAACACTTAGGTGATCTTGGCAAAGTGACAGTATCATGATTTTATTCCAATATCATTTCTTATGTCTTCATGTTTCATTTATTTGCATTTTGTGGACTGGAATTTCTTATTTGATTACCGACTTTATACTGTCAGTGATTAGTTTGAGTGAGTAAGTGATTGGGTGAAAATGATAATGATTGAATTTATGTTATGTTTGGTATGGTGATGTTTGGTACATATGGGTAATGTCTGAGACATAAGGTGATGTTTGTAACAATTCAGTGTTTCGAACAGGTGATGTTTGGGAAATGTGGGTGATATTTGGAACATGTTGGTGATGCTTGGGATATGTAGGTGATGTTTGGAACAATTTGGCGATGTTTGAGAGATAGGTAATGTTTGGAAAATTAATTGGTGTTTGAGACATGTAGAAGGATGTATGGGAGACGTGGATGATGTTTGGAACATTAGGTATTGTTTGGAACAGTTAGGTAATGTTTGGGACATTAGGTAATGTTTGGAGCATTAGGTGATGTTTGGGATTTAGCTGATGTTTAGAATAATTAGGTGATGTTTGTACTAAAGCAATTAATAATGTGGAAAACAATTATCATATTTATGTAGGTGGTTAATTTGGTTTATATAAGTGACTATTTGTGTGTGTATGTCGATGATGTTGAGGTTTTTGTCAGAACTAGCTTGTGGGTCTGATTTTTAGGCTTATGTCAGTAGTGCTGAGGCTCATGTCAGTAGTGCTGAGGCTCACATCAGTAGTGCTGAGGCTCATATCAGTAGTGCTGAGGTTTATGTCAGTGATGTCTAGGTTTTATGTTCATTATGATGAGGTTTCTTGTCAGTGGTGTTGAGGTTTGTGTTAGTTGTGAAAAGATCAAGATTGTTTTTGTTTATATCAGTGTGTTTGACTTCCATTCCACTACACTCGAATCTACTGGCAACTTCAGATTGGTTTTATATTTTTAAAAAAAAATTGTGTGGTTTGGTAAGTGACAGCGCTAGCAGTAAAAAATATTGTGATTTAATGAATGACAGTGCATCCAATAAAACTACTGTGCGATTTGATGAGTGACAGCACTGGGAGACAAATACTGTGATTTGATGAATTACAGTGCTGGCAGTAAAAAATACTGTTGAATGTGATGAGTGATTGCCTTGGTGGTAAAAATATTTTTGAATATAACTGGTACTGGCAGTAAATTTAATTTGTATGTTTATTGTAAGAAATGACAAATAATAATGCTGAGTTTAATATTCATTGTCTGCATACTCTTTGGTAAACATTATATTTCCCGTACCCATGTAACGTTTCATAGACATATTATTTTATCATAACAGATCTAGCTACAAAAAGTCTTCTATGCAAGCTATCATTTGAACTAGGTTGTTATATATACATTCTACTCAATCTGCGTAAGCAACTTTGAACTTTATGTTCTGCTAGATTGTCATTTTATTCCCAACATTCCTCTGTTTATGTGTGCCAGATTTTTCTTCATTACATTCCAATTACTGACTGCTTAATTGCTGTTTTACTAACATTTTAATATTCCATGTGTCAGACATATTACCTTTTTGAGATGGTGTGGGAATATGCACACTCATATGTATGCCAAATTGTCATTTTGATTAAAACATTCCTACTTTTTATGTGCCAGGGTGTTGTTTGAATCCTAGCATTCCACTGTGTGTTTTAGTTCACCGGTTCCTAGATAACTAAGACCTGCCGACTGTTCTTATTTTTGAGTATCCGTCTCGGACCTCATACTTTTTAATCGTCACACAGAAAACTTATTAATATTAGAAAAGCAAAATAGGATTGCATTCTAAAGTTTTTTTTTTTTTTTTTTAAATTAAAAGATTTCAATAATTTGTTTTTCTGTGGACTACCAAATGGAAAAGACTAGTTTAAATTATTAGTTTGCTTTTTGCAACCTTTCCTCTCCTTTCATCCTGCCTTTTTAAACACGACCCTGGCAGTGCTGTTCTTTTTTTTTTTTTTTTTTTTTTTTACTTCTCCCATCTTTAGTCCAAACTGTAGTCTCAGTAGCATTTGTGAACACTAGTTATGTGTTTATAAATGCAATTGTTTTGTTTACACAATCCTAGATTGATGTTTTTGTTTTGATTTGACAGATTGTAAATTCATGTTCTTGTTCTGGCTGATAGATCCTTGTACTTGTTTTAAATGATAAATTCAGATTCTCTTGTCAGTTTTCTATACGTATTTATGTGTAAAGACTATCTGTATTGTTAATATGTTGTTATTAATATAACAAAAGTTGCCTTTATTCACATCATATCTGCGTGTATAATAGCTTGCACGTTACCTCCTGGTACTTATCAGAACATCGATGTTATAATATACTTGATATATTCTTACAGTGGAAATAGACTTCAAATACATCAGATGTTGGAGTGTTCTTAGTTGTGTGAGGCGGAGGAGCTATACATTGTGTGTGTATGTGCGTGCGTGAGAGAGAGGGGGAGGTATATATATATATAGGATAGAAAGATCAAGTAAGAGACAAGAGTGGAAGGGAGCAGAGACGGAGCAAGATAGATCAGTGGAGAAATAAAAAGTAAATTAGATTGGCAAAAAAGGGGTAGGGGGGGGATGGTCACACTGCCACCTAATAAGTAAAGGTCCATTTTCCATGCCTTTAGGCATATAGGGCTAGATCTATATTTTTAGACCAATCGGCACAAGAAGGGTGATGTGGTCAGCATCATGCCGGCCACCTTTACTTCCCAGGACTGTACCGAGTTCCCACTCAGGCTGGGTCGACCTGGGAGCTAAGGTCATTTTTGTAAAAAGTCCGGCTCCTCCAGGGAGCAAACCCATATCCTTCGTACTGGCGGTGAGCATCTAGCCACTCTGCCATGGCAACTCCCTACCTACTAATAAGGATGGCATAAAAGATGATTTAACTTGTTTAGAATTGTGCTGAAATTAGATATGCTGCACTGAAAGACACAGATATTGCAGCCTAGCTGTAAACCACAACGCAGTGTGCTATCCACCCTTTTGAGAGGGAACCAAGAATAAGAAAAACGTATGTACGCACGCACACACACACATACATTAGACAGAGCTACACGCGCTAACAGTCTCTGCATATCTCCATTACAGAAGAGGTATATAGGCATGTGCCAATATATAACAGAAAGATTTGTTTTGCACATTAAATTCCTAGCGTGGGGTCTGTGTATGTGCAGGAAAACAAGAAAAGGCCCTAACAAGCATGTCATAAAAGGCAACTAATTATAGGTGTTTTCTTCAAAGTCAGGGTGCATCTGTCTGTGAGGTGAGGAACCAACAGACTGCATACAAATAAGCCAGATTTGTGAAACAGATGTGCATGAAAAACTTAAGTTTTGAAACAAGACCAAAGTCAAGAAACGGATGAACAACCACTAGAGTTTTCAGCAGCTGAAGGCTAAGAAAAAGAAGAACACATGCACGTGTGTGCACGCACACATGTATACACACACACATACATTTGAGAGATCCACATATGCTTACAGACACAACATATCTCCAATACAGAAGAGTTATTTCATGCATCAGTCAAAATGTATCAAAAGATATGTTATGCACACTAAATAGGCACTCCGGCTTCTGGACAATATGGTGAATAGGTGGGTTTACTGTTTTAAGTCATGGCAAGTTTTTTGCTTATGACAGTAGTTAGCTCTTAAATTTTTCTCCATATATAGACTAAAAGGAAATAGTTCCATTGCCCAGCTACTGTGAACTGTATTTCTAGTGTTGGACTGTTTAAGTTGGCACCGACTGCTGCCTAATGCATTTGATCATGTTTGTGCTGTTGGATTTGGTAAGCGCAGTCTGTGTCTTTTTTCCCCTTCTTTCCCCAAAGGATATTGATGGACATTTTTTGCGGATTACATTGACACAAGAGCCACTATGGCATGAACTGTTTGCTATGAAGTTGGAACTCTGACTTTGAAGGTAAAAAAAGTAAAGGACCCTTTTCCACACCTTTAGGCATATAGGGCTAGACCTATATTTGTATAGACCAATCGGCACAGGAGGGTGATGTGGTCAGCATCACGCCTTTACTTTCCCAGGACTGCACCCGGTACCCACTCAAGGCTGGGTCGACCTGGGAGCCAAGGTCATTTTCGAAAAAAGTGGCTCCGCCAGGGAGGGAACTCACGACCTTCCGATCCGCGGCGAGCGTCTAGCCGCTCAGCCACGGCGACTCCCTTGACTTTCAAGGAATCACCCATAATTAGTTGCCTTTTATGCAATGTTTATTAAGGGCAGTGGGTCTACTCCCACCTCAACCCATCATGGGGCCCCAGAATCCACTTTGGCGAATCCTGACTTGTATATTAAATCAATGTTACGATCCATAAATGTTAACAGAATAACACTGTTGGCCAGAAAGAGTAATGCTCATGATTGTGAT